AATACTGCTGTACAGAACTGTTTTTTTTCCAGGGAGCTGGATATGATATCAACTGTTCTGTGTAATTGGTGCAATGTAGAATGTTTTGATCTGAATCCGAATTGTGTGTGTGGAATTATGTTTTTTGAAGAGGCAAAATGAATGAGTCTTTTTAAAAGAATTTCCTCAACAATTTTTGAAAAGGTTGGAAGAAGACTTATGGGTCTGTAAGAGGCAGGATCTTGTGGTGGTTTATTGGGCTTAGGTATTAGAATAACAACCGAGTATTTCCAAGTGTTTGGAAAGTACGATAGTCGGAAAATGGCGTTGAATATGTGTGATAAAAAAATAATAATATTTTTGGGAAGGTTCTTTGTAATAACATTACTAATTAGATCATGGCCTGGTGATTTTTTAATAGGGAGTTGCTTGATAATGTTTTCAATTTCACCCGGAGAGGTATTTTTAGCGGGAAGTGACATGGGTAGGGATGAATTGAGAGAACTATCCACTATTTCTAGTTGTGATGCACTAGGCTGAATATCATGAGGAGTAAAGCATTTCGATAGGTGCTCAGCGAATATGTTAACTTTTTCGAGGTCAGTGATAGCCCAAGAGTGATCTGCTTTACGAAGAGGGGAGAAGGTTGTTTTAACCGTGGTAGGGATTTAGTTGCCTTCCATAAGGAGCAGTTGGTTGTTGTGAGAGCTTCAACATATGAATTGTAAGAGTCATTTGTATGCTTCCTAATTAACTTTTTAAGTTTGTTACTTAATTGATTAAGTTTAATCTTGTCATTGGGGTATTTTGATTTTTGCCACTTGGCTCTAGCCATGCGTTTCTCTGCTAGTAAGATTTGGATGTGATGCGGTGTTTTATTATGCGAGGATTTGTTAGTTTTCGTAATGGAGGCGCTCAAAGCAGCGGACTGTATTGATAACGTCAAAAAATCCAACGCATCATTTACTTCGTCTGTTGTTTTTAAGGAAATGTTTAGTTTTATGTTATCATTTAAAGTTTTTTTAAAGATTGACCAATCCATTCGACCAGGAGTAAGTGTTTCTCTTTTTGGTATACTTGGGCTTAACCCAATTTCGAGTAGGGTTGGTCGGTTAGGAGTTAAAATATTTTTGTACATCGAAAACGATCTTTCTACGTCCACCGAAGTTATCGGGGCGTATTTCATACTTAAATAATTATCTAAATTAAGATTGCTACTTGATAGATCGTCATCATTTGTGGTTTCTCCAATCAATACTTGGTTGATCTTTTTAATATTTTCCCATCCTTTGTTCTTCGATATAACTTTGTTGAATTTATCCAAAATCAATTTAGCTATTTTGCCATTGCATTCTTCGTGTTTAATCTGTATATTATTTACAACATCTACACTTTTCGATAGTAATACACCTAAAACATACACAGTATATTTTAATATATAAAACGTGCAAAACACATAAAAATAATATTTGTTACCTCTTGTTTCTAGTTTTGTAATTGTGCCAGGCAAAAATCCAAAATTAGATACAATATACACCAGATTACTTTGTATTGATGGCATTTTAAAAAGTCTTTTAGCTGCTCTCACACATTCAGATTCTTCTTCGAATTCTTCAATTATAGATTTCAGTTCATTGAAATTTGTACAATAGTATTTTACTGCATTAATCCATGTACCCCAACGTGTAATTATCGGTCTAGGTGGATTTGGCAATTCTGGACATTTTTCTTTCAGAACTGTGATTCTCTTAGGACATTTTAAAAATGTCTTTTTCATTTCAGAAATTAACGGGTCTACATTTTTATAATATGCTCGTACTTATTCACAGACGTTATGACATGCATGAGCCAAACAAGTTAAATGAATAATATTCGGGTACAAAGTTTGAATTGTACTACCCGCTTTCTTCATATAAGGAGCCGCGTCAGATATAAAAAGCAAAATATTGTCGTATTTTACATTAGTTGGCCACAATATATGCATTGCTTTGTCAAATAGCTAGGTAATTGTACTACTATTTACCTTATCTGAAATAGTCTGTGTGAAGAAAATACAAATTTCCAGGATTTTCTGGTTGTAGAATTCCAACTATTATGTTAGCCACGTTTCGGCGTTCTGAATCTGTGATTTCATCAATACACACCCATATTTTATGTTCACCAACAGTTTCATGAGTTTTCAACAAAACCTCTTCATAACATTTATCAAAGTATCCTTTTCGTAATGTCGATTCGCATGGAATATTTTTGTTGCAATATTTTGATAAAAAAGATCTAAAAACGTCATTATTCAATTTATTCATAGGGATATTTGCCGCAACCAACGCGTTACACAAATCGTAATTGAAATCTGACTTAAAGGTATTTTTATTAATGAAAGGCTGAATTTTTATACTATTTTCAATTTTTGCAAGCGCATTTTTGTGTTTATCTCTTCCGATATGTTGCTGAATATGGAATTTTTTCTCACTTGACACTTTGACGTCACAAATTTTACAATATAAAATGAATCCATCGATTGAAAAAATATTTTCACCAAATTCTGAAACATACTTTTTCAACTTGGAATTGTGATTTTGTTTAATTTTTGGCAAAATTAAAAAAACAGAATAAAATAAACGCATGGAAAAATTATTGAACGACAATTATTGCGATCGACATGGCATTGCGGACTGACGAACAATCTTGAATCTACGCATTACGAATATATCTTAATCATTAAATAGGTGTACGGGTAATTTTATGGCCATACCAAATACTCGATAAGATGGTATCGATAAATATTGCGAATAATAAAACCCATTTGTAGCGATAATACGCAAGCTGTGTATAAAATTATAAAATCAACTGAAAAATTAAATACAAAATAGGCATTTATAAGTACAAAAGGTAAAAAAAAAAAGGCAAAAAGGCATTTATAAGTAAAAAGGCAAAAAAAGAAAAGATCCATCGTCTAAGAAATTAAATGAAACACATTTTTGTATAAAAATTAATTTTTTTTTTATGATTAATAAAAGAAAAGCATTTGCCTTCAAATCCGAACCCTAGTGATTAATTTAATTTTAATTATATTATATTAGCTGACCCGACAAACGTTGTTTTGTCATACAAATTATTTCTAGAGAATATTTTGCTAGAAAAAAATAACTAATTTATTTAATTTACTATGTAAATATGTGGTAGGTATATAAGTAAAAGAGGTATGAAGTGCTGTGAACGGTGACGGAATATAAAAATGAAAAAACATCAAACATTAATTTTTTTAATAATTTATTAAAATTGATCCTTTCAAATTATACATATACATCGCTAATTATGATAATATTAGTAAAAAACAATCCCTTAATGCAACAGAGTGTACAATATTATTTGTTATCCCACCTTTCGCCAACACAAACAAACTGGATGGTTCGAGAACACACCACGTACAAAAATTTCATTTGTCCTTTCATTGTCCATGTGAAAAACATGATGTGCTCAAATCTAAGCCACAGGCAGACATCATTTGGCCTTGAGACTTATTGATGGTCATTTCAAATGCCAATGTAATTGGAAATTGAAATACTAATTTTTAATTATTTATCGTTAAAATGCCTTTTAAAAACAATGACAATCGTTGTCAAACCAAAAAAGTTATTTTTAATGTGTACAATTATTTGAAAAATCTGGCTACTTCAGATGACGAGGTCTTAAAACAATATTTTAAACAGACTCAAAAAATTACTGCGGACGCGTGTGGTGTATCTCTTATGACAGTAAGACGAGTGTGTGCAGAAGGATCATCTACTACTGACGATGTCTCAGACTCGTCACAACCTGGACCGTCATTTAACTCACCGCAAAAAACGTATAAACGGAAAAAGTATGCCACAGAACTGGACGATTTCGATAACGATGTTGTTCGACGAACTGTGCATGAATTTTATGAAAATGGTGAATATCCTACATCAAGATTAATTTTAAATTCTATTCAACAAAAATTTGATTATTAAAGTAGTCTTGCTTCCATGAAAAGATTGTTGACAAAATTAAAATTTACGTATAAAAAATGTAACGACGGACGTAAATTTTTAATGGAGCAAAACGACATTGTTGCCTTGAGGTGTAAATTTTTGCGTACGATGTGTACACTCCGAAAAAATAACGATTCCCGTCCTGTAATTTACTTAGACGAGACCTGGGTGAATCAAAACCACTCTAAAACGTATATATGGCAAAATGAAGATGAAACTGAAGGTTTAAAAGTACCTACCGGTAAGGGAGGTCGGCTCATTGTTTGCCATGCAGGTTCAAGTCATTATGGTTTTATTAAGGAAGCAAAATTAATTTTTCGTAGCAAATCAGGCAATACAGAAGACTACCATAATCAAATGAATGCTGAAGTTTTTAGATCTTGGTTCGTACAAATGTTGCAATCCCTTGAAGAATCATGTGTCATCGTCATGGACAACGCTCCATACCACTCAATGTTGGAAGATAATTTTCAAAAAGCAATGCCCGAAAAGCCGATATACAAGAATGGTTAACCAAAAAAAATATTGATTTTTCTCCACTTGAAACAGTTGCTGAACTTCGTGAAAGAGTTAAAGTCTTAATATCAACCGAAAAAAAATACGAGCTGGATAAATTGGCCCTTAAAATGTGACATGAAATTGTACGGTTACCACCTTATCATTGTCAGTACAATCCAATCGAAATGATATGGGCACAAGTTAAGGGACAAGTTGCATCTAAAAATACAACATTTAAGATGGCTGATGTTGAAAAATTAATGCACGAAGCAATAGATTCGGTGAAAAAAGAAAATTGGGTAAATTGCGTTCGTCATGCCGAAAGAATACAGGACGAAGATTATCAAAAGGAAAAACATAGAGAAGTAATTTTAGAGCCTATTATTCTCACAATACGACCAGGTGACAGCAGTAGTGATGACGACGATGTGGAAAACGACATATAATTTATTTGTGTAATATGTATATACCTATTTTATATTTGTGTTTCTTAAAAAAATTTTATATCATGCCTTACTCTAGGCCATTTAGGCCCATTGCCGCTTCCACTATCTCCCTCCATGATTCTTTATGTTTTGCCAGTTCCTCTCCATTTATGACTCCCAGCATCCTAATGTCTTCCTTAACTCGGTCCACCCAACGTTGTCTAGGCCTTCCTCTTGGTCTACTTTTGTTCGGTTTCCATTTCGTGATGGTCCATAGAAGTTGGTCTTTTGCTCTCCATACGTGTCCGGCCTATCTAAGTCTTCGGCTCTTGAGTGTGGCAACTATATTGGGTTCGTTATATAAAGCGTTCAGTTCTCTATTTGATCTTATTTCATAGATACCTTTTTCATTTCTTTTTGTACCAAATATTCTACGTAAAATTTTTCTTTCGAAGATCATTAATTTGTTTTCGTCTGATTTGGTAGATGCCCATGCTTCACAGGCGTATAGTACTATTGGTCTAACGAGGGTCTTATAAAGTCTTATTTTCGTTCTTCTTGATAGTTTTTTGGATTTAAATAATTGGAATAATGAGTAGTAGCATTTGTTGCCAGCTGAGATTCTCCTTTGTATTTCTGCGTGCCTATCTGCCTGTGAATTTATGTCTACTCCTAAGTACTTAAAGTTCCAAACTCTTTCAAATGACATGTCTTTTATTGTTATAGCACTTTGTGGATGTTCTCTCCTAGATATGATCATAAATTTGGTTTTATTATCATTAATAATAAGCCCAATCTTTCCCGCTTCCTCACTCAACATTTCGGTTGTTCTCTTTAGGCTGTCCTCTGCCTCTGCTATTACGACTACATCATCTGCATAAGCGGCTAATGTTATCTGTTTTTCTTGTCCTATATTCAAACCTTGTGATTTGTTTTGCATTATTCTTCTAATTACCGATTCCAAGGCGATGTTAAATAAGACCGGAGACAAAGCATCCCCCTGCCTTACCCCAGTATTTATTGTAAATTCCTCTGATATTGTTGAGTTGAACTTCACTTTGCACCTTGAGTCTACCATACATGTTTTCACCATTCTGACGAGCTTAGCTGGGATTCCTAGTTGGATCATTTCGTTCCACAGCGTACTTCTTATTATCGAGTCGTAGGCTTGTTTAAAGTCAACAAATAATAGGTACACATCTTTATCAAACTCGTGACTCTTCTCTGTTATTTGCTTGATAATATGTATTTGATCAGTGGTGGATTTTCCAGCTATGAAACCTGCTTGGTAGTCTCCTATTATCTCTTTAGCATATGGTTTTAGTCTATTTAGAATTATGTTCGAGAGAACTTTATACGATGTGTTAAGTAGGGATATACCTCTATAGTTTTTGCAGTCCATTACATCTCCTTTTTTATATATTGGGCACAGTACTGAGACCCGCCATGGTTTTGGTATTGTTTCTTCTTTCCATACTTTGTTTATCAGTTGTTTTAGGCGTAGCATTACAGTACTTCCGCCTTGCTTTAAAAGTTCCGACATTATTGAGTCTTCTCCAGGTGCCTTTCCTCCCTTAAGCATTTCGACCGCCATTTCAACGTCTTCTAATGAGGTTTCTTCTAAGTATTGTTCTACTGTGGCAACATCATTATCGTTTGTTTCTGTTAGAGTTGATACATTCAGCATTTTTTCAAAAACCTTTTTGAATTCTTTTGTTACTTCTTCTTTAACGGTAATTAAATTTTCCTCGTCATCTTTCATTATTTTTGATCTTGGTTTAAATCCATTTTTAATCTCATTTGCCTTTCCGAAGAATAGTTTTGTATTATTTTTGTAGCTGTTTTCGATGGTTTCTATTCTGGCTTTTTCCCACATTCTTTTGTTTTTTCTAATTATCTGTTTTGCTTCTCTTTGTTTTAGTGCTAATTCTCGTTTAATGGCTTCACTTGGATCTCTTAACATTACTGTTCTTGCTTTGTCTCTTTTTGCCATTGCAGTTTTGCATTCTTCGTTAAACCATTTATTTATTGATCGTTTCCCTTGAAATCCTAGAACTTCCTCTGCTATTTTCTTCACTGACTTCTCTGTTTTTTCCCACATATCATCTATATTGCTCTCCTCTTCTACTGCTCGCAGTGCATCATTTAACCTATTTTTGTATATTTCTGTTGTCTGAGAATTCTTTAGATGTTCGATGTTTAGCTTTTTGACTGGTGATTTTTGTTCTTTCCATTTTATAGATATTCTAAATCTGACTTTTGTTTTCACAATGAAATGGTCTGATATTCCGCTACTACCTCTCATGCTACGTACATCCATTATACATCTTTTAATTCTACCATCTACTGCTACGTGGTCTATCTGGTTTCTCGTTCGTCCATCAGGCGAAACCCACGTTTGCTTATGGATGTTTTTATGAGGGAAGATAGTGCTACTTATTACCATATTTCGTGCGATAGCAAAATTTACCAGTCTTGAACCATTGTTATTTGAGTTTGTATGTAAGCTATTTTTCCCTATTGTCGGACTGAAGAAGGGTTCTTTGCCAATCTTAGCATTAAAATCTCCAAGTATTATTTTTACTTTGTTGTTTGGTAGTAGGTCACATATAGTATCCAGTCTTTCATAGAATTCATTCTTAATTTCCTCATTTTTGTCCTCGGTAGGTGCATAACCATTGATTATGACTAGATTGTACCATTTACATTTTAATTCCAGATAGCATATTCTGTCGTTAATTGCTTCAAAGCGTTTTACGTTAGGTAGGAGTTTGTCATTCACGATGAAGCCCACTCCTGCTTGATGCCCCAGTCCACCACTGTAAAAGTAGGTCCAATTATTTGTTTTTAAGTTCCCTTGCCCTGGCCATCTAGTTTCTTAAATCGCAGCTATATTCAGTTGATACCGTTCAAGACTCGATATCACTGTCGTCAAATGTCCGGCCCTATACAGCGATCGTACATTCCATGTTCCTATCGAGAGATCCTTTAGCTCCACATTTTTAATCCGAGGCGATTTTGGTTGAATCGTAACAATGAGTTTTTTACGAGGTAGGGTTGTTAGCCCTACGCTCAACCCCCAACCTGGAGGACCAGACTACCCCAACCAATTAAGGTCAGGGTAGGGCTATTGCGGTGCATTTACTATAATGTACCGGGCGATGAGGACGCTACTTTCCCTACGCCAAATTTTTTGTATGATTAAATTGTGATTCTTTTTGGAAATTAAATATTTAATATCGGTATTTAAAATAGTTTATACATCTTTTCCTAATTGTAACATCCATAAATGTGTTTAATATTATTGTATTGTATATGTTGTTTAGTGGTATGAACAATTTAAAAAAACGCGGCAAACGGGTTTAATAATCACTTGTTGAAAACGGCCACGGGGATCGCTGATATCAACGTTCACTTTTCGTGAGCTGGACTATAGTTGTTGTCTTTGTATTTTCGACTTGTGCTACTCGTGTGACTGGTCGGAGGCAAATATCGATGGGTGGGTATACGGTTGTTCTTAATTATTTATATTATAAAGTTTGACATAAATATATAGCTATAATTTTTGTATTACTCAACCACAAAATAACAACAATTTCTTAGAGATCATTGAAAACATTCGATTAAGACCATCACTAATCACGTATGTCGATTATTAATACTTCGAATGATTATTTCGAGACATCCTCGATTATAAAAATGTGTCAAATACTAATATTTCGATTGTTGAAATCATTCAATGATGCCCATCACTAATTGATACAATACTACGAGAACGGGGAACAAGTAACGATTGCGACGAACGGTGTGGCATTGCTATTACATTAACGGTCGAATAAATGACAACCCTTTAATTTACCGAAAGGACCGTTCACTGTTAACTCTATGATGTAATAGTTGAGTACTTTTAAACTTGAGTTCAGACGCCGTGATCGGTGGGTTTATATAAACCATCATGGTATGCTGACTATTGTATTCGATGTGTTTTCATTATGTGTTAAATACATAATAAAAACACATTTTTAACAACATTTTTGTTATAATTGTTGTCGACTATCGATGTTCTTGGGAAGTCCTACTGACAGTTTCCTACTGGTCCAATAAGCACTTAAAAATAGTTAATAATCACCTTAGATGTGTTAATTAACAATTAAGTGGATAAACGATAAGCTTTACTGACACGGGAACAGTAGTTTTGCACCGTAGCACGCGCTCTGTTGGCAATATGTCGGTGTTACTCTGTTTGGCCATCATGCGGCGCGACGGAAGTACAGTAACGAACGGCAATTACGGCCCGATAAATTGTGTTCGTTACAATGTTTATTAAATAATTTCATTTTTACAAATTACATTTCTTCTAATTTTTGTTCAAAATATATCTAATAATATATAGTCTTAACTTTCTTACGATACATGAACAATGTAACCGGGAATTGATTTTCTTTATTTTTTTTAGCATAGGAACCCCTTTTTCAGTGAAATATGTGATCAAGAGGCCGATTTATATTAAAGTGGACAACCAGTGTCAACTACCTTCGCGCATGACTACATTGTTTGTATTCTAATAGTACTTGTTGAGATCATGGGGTATACTTTCCATGTCTGGGTCCCGATCAACAGGCTCAAATAAGCGGCTGATCGGGTTCCAAGAATACAGTATGGCTGGTTATTATTTTTACAATCAGAGGTGGAACTAGAAATTTTTACGCCCGGGGAAAATGTAACAAAATTGTAATGTACAATCATACTTAATGAGTTTTAACCTAATATCAGTATTTAACAAAATTAAAAATATCAAATTAGTTGTTAATTATTAAAAAATTAAACCCTCTAAAATTTCATGCCTGGGGATGAATCCCCATCTTCCACCCCCTAGTTCCGCCCTTGTTTACAATTATGCAAGGGGTGGTCGATGGCAATAATCGGAACAACTCAAATAATTTTTGTCAGTATGCCAACGCGGACCCGGAATCTCATCGATCAAATAATCGGAGGTCGGTTGGAATTTGGTAGTCCAAATAAAGGCCGTTTTAATTTGTATATCCGTTGGATATCTAACTTTGACAGATATTCAATGGTGTTGTCGTCGTCGCCGTAACCATGTTGCTGCAGTGGTCGTAGCAAAGATCATTTTACGAGTCGTTTTCGTCGCAGTAATGATGGTGTTCGCGGTCACAGTAATCGTCGCTGTCGTCATCGTCAATCTGGTCATCTCCTACGCTGATGTCGGCACTGTTAGGAGCTGTCGTTGTCGCCGGAGTCGTAAAACTGGTCTTCTCTCTTCAATACTTCTAACTGGATTGATGATATTGGTTTGATTGAAAAAAATTGTGTATTGAAAAGGTGTTTGGGGCCTGTTCTTTGTACTCGTTGATGTCCCGTAGATAATCCAAACGAAAATTTGTGCACTTGTTTGTTTTGACAATGTAAAATAGCATCTTCCGACTATGTTTTGTTATCAGTTGGTACCATTTTAATTTGTTGTTTTTATGGTCGCGTAAAATAATATCCCCCGCATGTAGTTACAACATGTAGTGATACAACCGGTGCTATTTTACATGGCCATTTTGCTTTATATGGAAGCCCTGTAAAGGGCCGTTTTCCAACGGAAGTATTCCGTTACAACTAGGCTGATATGTCAGTTGATGTCAGTGAGGTACGCAGAATTTTACAATGGTAGGAGGGAGGCTTGAAAATAAATAATTACTCAGTTGTAACAGGCAAATTGGCTTAAAAAGTAGTTGCTTTTTTTATTTTTTATAAAATTAATTATTAATAATTATAATTCTATGGAAAGTATTTTTTGGTTTATTCCCGACTATTTTTTAAGTTGTGTTAAATTGCATTAGTTTTTATATTTAATTTCAGTATAACGTGGATTTTTTTTTTTTTTTTGTATCAACATAAACCAAGGATTCTTCGGGAGCCAAGTAATCACTATTTATTTATTTTTTTTTTGTTAAATTTTATACATTAAATATTTAATGGAATAAAAATCAAATTTATATAATTTACATAAAATATCTTGATAAATCTAATATGTTTCTTTTTCAGTACTTGGATTTTTTATCGTTTCAACCTGAAGGAGATGTCCTTCGAGAGCCGGGTAACCACTTATAATTTTTTTTTGTTGAATTTTATTCATTAAATGTTTAATGGAATAAAAATCACATTCATTTAATTTACATAAAATATCTTGAAACTTTTAAATCGTTTGATTAAAATTAACTAATAATAATTAATTCTTGATAGATCACTCTCATAAATGTATGTAATAATTAAATTTAAATTAATCAAACTGTTTTCATTTCAAAATATTCAAATTTTAATTCGTTTATTTTTATGTTTCTTTTTCAGAACCTGGATTTTTTTTTTTTTGGATCAACCCAAATCAATTTTCCTCCGGGAGCCGGGGATCCCCTTTTCATTTCTACTTCTGAACTTAACACTTTGAATATTTGATGGTATAAAAATCAAATTCATTTAATTTACATAAAATATCTTGATAAATCTAATATGTTTCTTTTTCAGAACTTGGATTTTTTATCGTTTCAACCTAAAGGAGATGTCCTTCGAGAGCCGAGTAACCACTTAGTATCAGAATGGGGTATTGAAAAAAATAATGTAGTGGCTGTAACAACAAATAGTGGGGCTTACATAAAAAATGCAGTAATACATTTTGTAATATTCAATGTACAAATAATTATATATTAAAATATTTACTTGTTATTAGCATTTTATTTATTTATATGACCTAATAATATTAATTTATAAAATTATATCGATATATCGATATTTCGATATTTTGATATCTAAAAAAAGGTTACATGTATATTTCATTCATCTATATATATACATCGAACCATTATCGTTTTTGCGCAACCTTAGCTCTAATGCTACTAGATAGCGCTGAGTGTTCTACGTGTACATATTGAAAACATTTTGTGTCCGGCCCTCTACCACTCTCCTGCCTAATCGTTATCAGTCTTGTATATCTTAGTCCGTGGCTTGTACCAACTATGGTACGGCCACTGAGAGAGCGCTACTAGGCACAGATATCTATATTATACATAGATATCTGTGCTACTAGGTGGCGACCAAAACTCGTCCGTTATCGCGCATCCCCACCATTAAACCTGTTAAAACTCTCACCGCCGTTAACGTGCGCCTCCACCAGCACAGTATAGCCACCGGTCGTTACGTATGAAGGGGAATTTACAGCGACGAAACCACGTTTGTATGCGCGAAGGAGTAGCGCTCTTTCAGTGGCCGTACTGTACAACCTTCAGATATATGTATTAAAGTAATATATAAACATTATATCTGATATTAGCATATATATTATGTTCTGTGATATTAGTTTAATATATATATATCTGTGACAACAACTCGATATCTTTAACTAAGTGTAATTTTTTATTTTCTAATTGTGTTTTAAGCAATTTGTACCTTAAAGCTTGTATCAACTAATTTTAAAAATAATTCTGATAACTATTCCATAGAATTGTCTTATCTTTGTTCGTGACAAGCTCTAGTTATTTAATTATTTGAGTTAGATAAACTATATTTTCTTCATACTCAATAGTTGTATTCACATGATCACGTGTATCAAACATGTCGTATTCTACTTTAAAAAAAGCCTTACAGTTATTCGATGAATCAGCTGATAGTAAAAATTCCATATTAAATAGAACAACTAATTTATAATTTATTTTTCATTTAAGCTTTGTACAAAAATGTATTACTTTTGTAGCTAAAAAAAAGAAAAGTAAAACTCAACAAGCTAAAAGTGTGTTTAAAGTACCAATTTTTATGAAATCTGATGCCAATAAATCAGTTCAAAAAATTAAGGAACAAATAAAAAATGACAAAGAATTGAATTTGGTGCAAATAAATTTGGAACGATTACATAAATTAAATAAGACCAGTTATGTAAATAACATTGCCTCTACTATAGTATGTATATTTTTAAATTATCTTACTGTTCTTTCTAGTTTTAACTATGTATTTTTTTTTTTTGCGTAAAATATAAATTATTAACTAAGGTAATTCAAGATTAAATGAACATTTTGTTTCATATAATTCGTATTTTAAAATTAAGCTCTAAAATTGACTAGCATTATAAATTTAAATGACTTGGGATTTCTTATTTTTACTTTTTCTTGTTGAATAAGAATGTCTTTTTATTAAATTTAACCAGTTGTGCCAAACATGGATAATAGGTGAAGTTAAATACACAGAATTTTTTCAGGTGGTAGGTATTTGAATGAGCAATTGATGTATAACAAACGTAGAAAATATATTGTTTATACATAATTATGTCCCTACTACTTATAAATAACAAATATTCTTGAATTATTAAATAATACATTTGATTCATCAGATATTTTTTAAGTCCTGAAATGTAATAAAAATACTTTTAGGTATAATATTTAATTTCAATGACTAATAAATTAATTTTAAAGCCTATCTTTAAATTAATAGTTAGGTTTTTACAGAAATATTTTCTGAACTGCTGTATTTACAGAATAAGTACAGTATCAGGTTCGATATACATAGAGACTTATGAATGAAAATAAGTTCACATCAGCTTAATATTGATGTTCTTTTACAAAATAAACAATAATAAACTCATATTATATAAATAATAAGAGATTTATCTAAAAATTAAGATTTTTTTTACTTTTTATGAATATCAAACAATAAACATTTTTAATAAATTAATAAAATATATATTTAAAAAAAATGTACTTCTAATTTAGTTTTAGAATTAAGGTAAATTGCATATTTATCATAAAAATGTCGAGTGCTACTTGGTTATAAAAGTTTAGAAACCTTAGCTCTAGATTATATAGCTAAAACTCTGAATTGTCCTTTAAAGTAGCTCAATACATAATTTTCCTGGTTATTAATATCTCATAAATTCAACCTAAAATTTAATTGTAGTCCTATGTTACTATCTGCCATCTTATTTTTCATAATCATACTTACAATCAACATTCACAAAATTATTAATCATTATATAAGTATTATTTTACTATTTATTTATAATAAATAAAAACATTTGATACTAACAACTTTAGAATATAAATCTGAGTATACTGCTGAGTAGCTATCTCCACAAACCTTCATGTCTTTATAAAATATCAAAACGCTCTTATGCTTATTGTAAATATTATTACAGATTGTATATATTCTAATAAATTTAAAAAAAAAAAAAGAATATAAAATATATGAAAATATATCTGATAAATACTTTATACATTAATGAAAATATTATTTTATTAGTGTACAATTATTGAGTTTATTTTATTTTAATATTTTTTAGTGATAATTGACAATTAAAAATTATTACATTTATATTAAATTAATTTTTTGCATATAGAAGTTACAATTACATTTTTTAATGTTTTATGATTTTAGATCAAGAAACGATTAGAATCACCTGAAACAATCAATACTAAAAAAGAAGATAGTACTGTATTTACTGACGAAGATTTTGAAAAATTTGAACGTGAATATTTTCAAAATTAATGGATGATGCTACTATTGGAAAATATTTTATTATCATAGTGCTTACAATATTTGTTTACTTCACTTGTTGGTTATTTATACCACCGTTTGCAGATTTTGAGTCTTTTATAAATCAATTATTTCCATCAGTTTATAATGCATTGGTTCTTCCAGTAATATTTGGTGTAATTTTCATAATTAGTTTAATAATCTATACTTATATTGCAATTAAATACTAAATTATGTCTAAGAAACTGGTTGTTGTAATAACAGGAGTTACTTGTGGGGGGAAAACTACAATTTCTGATCATCTTAAAAATGCATTTGATAATATTTCAATATTACATCAAGATGACTTTTATTACACTGACTATGATGAGCGTTTGGAAAAAATTCCTGAACTTAATTATCATATGTGGGACACAATAAATGCATATAATATGAATCAAATGATGACCTCAATTGAATCTCAAAAGTCTCATATTTTGGTGCTAGAAGGGATTAATTTATTTGATGACACCAGAATTTTAAAATTGGCTGATTTATCTTTTTTTATTGTTATGAATAAAAGTGACTGTTTGGAAAGACGTATCGCAAGAACATATTTACCTCCTGAACCAGCAGGATATTTTGAAAAGTATGCTTGGCCTGAATATGAAAAATATTTAACAAGGATTAAAGAAAAAGAATTTAATAATATAATATTTTTAAATGGTTCCGATAGTATCAACTATAATGTGACAGTTGTTGTTAATCACATTCATCAACAGTTATTAAAATAATTATGATCATTTTTTAATTCATTATTGAATATTAAAATTCAGATTAACTTGATTTAACTTTTACTATTTACTCATTATTTAGTTATGATTACATTTATAAATTATAATTTGATATTTTAGTTTCTTATATAAATAAATTGTATTGTTTATTTGATTTAATGCTTTATTTTTAAATCTCTATAGATTTGAAATCATAATGATTATAAAAATGAATATATTACATTTTATAATGCAGCCTACATTACAATCTAAACTGGCTTATGCAGTTATAATTTATATGTAATTTTAGTCATTTCATCATTACAATAGAGTTTTTAAATTTATTCTGTTGAATGAACACTAATTCTAGTTACGGCTAGTCTCCATAATAAAAGTAACTGATTGTAAATATCAATTATAATCAAGAAGAGTTCATTTTTAGGAGTGCCTAAGATAAATATGTTGGCAAATTGTGCTTTTTTCCTTTTATGTCACTCAGGGAAAATTAGTTATCGTTTCCAAGATCAAAGTAATAAAGAACCACTAAATCCTATATAACCTATAATGTATTTTATATAATGTTCATAATATATAATATTATGAACATTTTAATTTAAAATTAGATCAGTTAAAAATATAGTTACTTTTATATTATATTACAGGGTTAGAGCACTGGTGATCCACAAACATTTTTTATCTTGCTCATACTACATTTTCATATTCTTAAAATTTATTATCGTTTAATTTTATTACATTGATCATAAAATAAAAATATATTCTTATCTAGTATTGAACTATTGCTAAATTTTTACTAATTACTATTTTAATAAATATTAAAATCTACATAGTTTACATAGCTATAGGGGTTATTGATAGTGCATTGGTTAGAATAAACTATTCATACTTTAATTCTACTCAATTTATTTATTTTTTTAATTACTTTATTAACTATTCTATAATCAACGATATTAGATTATTTTATAGCTTCAATCATAAAATTAAATTATGTAAAATAAATGCTGTCATTTTTAATAATAATTTTTTCTCAAGCCCATCATATTTCAAAGTTCTATAAATTGGTCCTCTAGTTACTTTAAGTTGCCCATCCTAATTATATAGTATTCTTTACAAAAGTATACTTGATTCAAATAACTAAAAAATTCTAATGTTTCAATTATAATTAGATGATGTTTTTTTTCAATATTCCAATAAAATTGGTGAATGCTTTTATTATACTAGAAAAATATATGGCTATATAAATATAATATACATGGCTTGCACCCCGTTCTATAATTTATTAACATTTATGGAAACATTAGTAAATTAACTCTTTCTCAGGTGTATAGGCGTTATTTGAGTAGGGGCTGTATAATTTTCATGTGTGTATTGTATCTATGCTCTCAAATACATATAAAAATGGAAGGAAACAACCTCCTCCTGTTCACGAAAAAATTAATAATATATTTCTTGTAAATTAACACATTTTCAACTCATGAATAATTTAAATTTGCCTTTCTATATGAATTATAAATAAATTTGTAAATTTTTCTTGACTCATTAAATTTTGCAACCAGTTTTTAATTCTCTTCATCGCCAAGATAGAATGCTCACAGAATGCAGAACTCATTGGATGGTTAAAGCTACTTTAAGTGGCTTGTACAAATTTGGGTGCATTTTTTCATCAACAATTTTTTTTTAATTCACTATTGTTATGCCATTATGTCCATTCATTCGTATTTCACAATTCTTTGCAACCACCATTTTTGAGTTGAGTGTTACTTTTGTTAAGTATTTCCTGAAATAAAATTTTTTCGATAAGAGAAAGTGAAATGTATAATTTTTGAATTAAATGTATTTTATTAATTTTTAATTCATAGTGTTCTATAAACAATGAGCTTCCAATAAAATCTAGTTTTATAATGTAATCAATTACCATTTGCCATCTTTAAGCTTTCGGGTGAAAAATGATTTTTCATATTAACAATTATAACATCTAAAATATGGAAATACAGAAGAACCCGTTTAAGACGCTCTCGCTTAAGACGATTTTCCGGCTAATACGCTCATTTTTACGAGTCCTTTGATTTTGACATCATTTTGTTTCTCCGTAATACAATTTCCAGCTTAAGACGCTATTTTTAACTGGTCCTTTGGAGAGCGTTTTAAACGTGTTCTACTGTACTTCACTTTTTAACGTTCATCCATTTTATTTCAGTCTTTTTGGTTTTAAATAATTAAATTTTATTAATAAAAAAATATTATCAGTGATTATTAATATCCAATTAAGAGTAACATAAATATTACCATTTATTTCTAATAGTTAAGCTGTAAATTGCTACATTATTTGTTTTTAAAAATTCTTTTATTTCTTCCCACAGTGTATTCCACAATTTGATTGAATAGTAGTTTTCACAGCATTTCCTTATATAACAGACTCTTGTTGTAATTTAAGACTTAGTATATTTATTGTTTGCAAAATGTCTTACAAAATGAACAAATATACCACGAATCTTGTTGAATTTTTTATACATAAAATACATAAAAAGGTAATATAAAAAGTATATTTATATAATATAAGATGAAGATTAAATATTGTGTAATATTTTAACTGTAGCTTATAATTGATCACTGTTTATATAGTTTTCAACATCTTCAGTCAATACATTTATAATTGCTGGGTAATTTGTTTTTACTGTTCTGCAGTTTCAAAATCTACAATTCCACCAAGTTTCACTAACTCTAATTAAACTAGTTTGCTTTATTTTGCATCACATAATATTTAGCATTGTTTGTAGGATATGAAAAATAAACATATAAGGGACTATAGGCAGTTAAATACAATTCTGATATCCTAAAAAAAAGCATTTAATGAAATTTATTAGGTACAGGATAATGAAGAAAATAATAACTTACCTTTACAATTTTGCACATATCTAAAACTAGTAGGTTCATTTTGTGTGCCCTACAATGTATGTAAATTGTCTCTGGATATTTACTTTTAATTTTTTGTTGAACTCCATTAATGCGAAGATGAAAGATAATCTATTTTCATACAAGTATAGTATTATAATCAATAATAGTTTTTTCATTCTAAATAGTGTCTACATTCATGTACAATTTTGTTTCAAATTATCTGAATAACTCAAATGACACACATATTTGAAGAATACTGAAGCAATTAAGGATTTCCAAATTAAATTTTTGTTGGTTTGAATATTTTTTTCAATGATCAATTATTTTAAATACAAACCATTTTAGGAGAGCTAACATTGATTTTTGGAGGGGAGGGCTTAGCCCCTTTCCAAAATGCGTTTATGCTTAAGTGTTATGAAAGCCAAAATAGATTGAATTTTTAATCTAAAAATTTGCCATTTGAATATTTTGTAGCATTAATTTTGTTATGAAATTCTCTATTTTCAGTTCCATTCTGTGTAATAAAAGTATATTCATTAGATCTAATAATAGATGCCAATAAATTTAACTTTAAAATAATGAATTCTATAGATATTATATTGCATCAATATATTAAACAACACAGAATAATATGATCTTCCAATCTAATCAACCCCCCTTTAGTGACAGTAATAGTACGTGTACATTAATAAATAAAATAAAAAACAAAATAATTTTGACATAATAAAACTTAGCTTTAATGGAAAAATTAACATCAATTTTTCATTTTAAAAAACATTAAATATAGAAAATATTTTAAACATACAAACTTAGAACAAAAATTAAAAGCGTAATATAAAATCAAAGCAATTATTAAAATATATATGCATACAATATACACTTATATATTATATACTCATATAAATCTTGTACTTTTAGATTTATCACACTTTAATAATAAAATGATTTCCAAAAATGTTTTAAGCGAATTAAATATGATCAATTATAATTTAGAAAATAAACATTTAAATGAATCACCTGTTTTGATTCTTTAAAAAGCAATTTTGGAAAACATACTTTGTAGACACTAAGTTTTATATTATTTTATATAAATATAATTTAACAGAAAAAGTAACGTATATTTTTCATATTTGAGATCCTAGGCGTGGTCTTGGCAATTCTCCGAAAATTCTATCACCATGAACACTTTTTGCTAATGCTCTAATACTAGCAGCAATATCAGTTTTATTTTCAGATTCACGTCCAACCTAATCGAATGAAAAAATGTTTTAAATAATTGGGTTAATTATTTTTATAAAATTCTGTTTGATTACTGGAATTCGAGGATTAACATCACTTGGTACACTACCACTATGGACCATAAATTTGGGTACATCTACTGGTAAAGAAGTAGCCATTTCCAATTGTTTATGATGTGGAATGTAAATACCTTCATCATGGCTTCCTGATTCTCCTATATACATATAGAATTTATTGATTGTTTAAAAATGTTATTAAATTTAATTTTACCTTCTGATTCAGAAAGATCATCATCAGAAGCACAATCAATTTGTAAATTATCCATATCTTCAAGTGGAAATAATCCTTCTGCATCATACGATGCTTTTGGTAATCCACTATCATTACTTCCCCCAACTAAAGGTATTTTAATGAGACTAGCTTTTGATGGGGTAGAATTTTCATTACCCTAAACACATTAATAGATAAAAATTGATAAATTTACAATAAAATATTTAATGTGTTAAAAATAAGAATTTCACAAACTCTACAAAATTAAGCTTAGGTAGTTTTAATATAATAATTACCTTGGTATAAGGTTTAAATGTAAAATCCATTAAATTCATTGTTGGATTATTTTTGAGCGTGGTAATAACTGGTTTTGGTAACGTTTGTGTAGGAGATGAATTTATATTTGAACTTGTTCGAGCAGGTGAATTTTCAAATTTTGGCAACTTATCTTTTTCAGATATTATTCTAAAAAAAAAATAAAATCCAACTTATCGATAGGTATTATTATTGATATATTTGTTACAAATATTATACCTAGCTAAGGCGTGATAGTCATTTTGTGCTTTAGTTCTAAATTCATCTAAAGCAGTGTACTGATTTTCTGTAAATTTTCTAATTTTTTCCTCAACCAGTTTTGTTTCCTTTTCCACCTTTTCGCTCATTTGTCGTTGTAGTGCTTTGATTTTTGGAGGTAAAAGAGCTATTTGTTTTACAAAAATTTCAAATTAGATAAAAAAACATTCAATCCTCTACTAATTACCTAAGTACTAATTTAATAAATTAACACAAAAAATATTAAAAAAGTCAAAATTTTAATTAGTTATATATAATTTGTAGCTAAAAACATTAGATTAAGTGCGGTTGGATAAAATGGAGAGAAGAATCGAGCATTTTATGTGATAAGAGAATTCCAATGAGGCTGGAAGATAAATTTTACAGGAGTGTAGTGAGACCAACTATGCTTAAGCGGTTGACAGGAGAATAGAACAGAGTAAGAGAGTTGAGGAAATGAAAATGCTTAGATGGATGAGTGGAGGGACAAGAGAAGATAAAATAAGGAACGAATATGTGAGAGGTAGTAATAGTGTAGTGTCTATAGTGGATAAGTTGAGAAATTAGACCGAGATGGTTTGGGCATGTGATGAGACGAGAGGAAACAAATGTTATAATAATAGCTGTTATGAAAATTAATGTTGAAGGGAAAAGAGGAAGACTTAAAAAGAAATGGTTACATACAATTGAGAATGATATGAGGGTTGTTAATGTGTGCGTAGGGGATATAGAAAATCGAGACAAGTAGGGGTTTAAGACAAGGGTGGTCAACCTCAAATAGTTGGGAAAAAGGCAAAGGAGAAGAAGAATATATATTTTGTAGCTATTCTTATTTCTAATTAATATCTTAAAAATTATTTCATTCAAAATAAATATTATGTGCTTGTAATTTATATAAAATAATATTTTATATGAATTACAGGTACATTTATTAAATTAAATTAATAACTAATAAATTAAAATTAATATCAATTGATTATTTAAATAATATTAAAATATAAGAAAAATAATGTTTGAAATATATTTAATTTTACTTGCCAGATGAACGAGGAGAATATATTTGATTAGTATCATCAGTCCAATTAATAAAAATTTCATAAGTTGGAGAAAAACAATCGGAATTTTTTAACTCTTGTATTTGTTTTGGATCAGTCTGTAAATAAAAATATATTAATTAAATAATTAAACCTAAAACAAGTTAAGCAAAAAAAAAAAATAAAAATTATACTATATTACTTAGTCACTAATGTATTTAAATAATATTTGTTATTTTATTAAAAGAAATGAATTATTAATCAAATATGGTAGCACTATAATTTCGAAAATTAATGAATGTCCATAACCGCCCATAGGTAACATTTTAGGGGGGGGGGTCAAAATAAAATTTTTTTTCGATTGTAAGATATTAAAGATTTAATGTTATTTTTAACATATAAATGTATACTTGCATGTTATATTTTTATTTTTATATATAGTGTATTAATAATAATTGCCATACAAATAAAATGGACGACTAAAATGCAGTCAATGTTGTCTGATAAAATATTTGTAGTACCTATATTGTGATCTTTATGGATTTACCACAAATTACCTGCGATAAATAATTTTACGTATAGGTACCTATACGGACTACAGAAAATGACTCATCTATGATGTTAATATATGAAAACAATGAGTATATTTTTATACTTATTTCATATCTGAAAAGTGATTTCAACAAATAATTTGCCTCGGGAATAAGGTAATATTATGGTAATATTTATTGAGCTACAAGTTCATAATATTTTTTTCCAGGAGGGGGGCAAGTGCCCTGTCTTGCCCCCCTCAATGGGCGCCCATGTGAATGTCTAAATTTAATAACAAATGAAATTATCGGACGTCCATAGTCTTCCTTACCTAAATAACTTTATATTATATTATATTTAGATATTTAAAATAAAGCCAGTAACTTCCTTTTCCAGTGAGATATATTGAAGAGCTCAGCAAATAATTTTAAGTATAAGAATAAAAATTTGATTTTGGTTTTACTAGGTACTCATATTGACAAGATAACAAAAAAAATAAATAAATAAAATTTAATTTATTTTATTTAATTCTTACCAATAATTCGGGATTAATCAAAATTGTTAATACATCTTTATCAGTGGATTCAGCGTAACACAACATATCACAATTTAGACATTCATATGTGATCCACCCGTGTACTTTTTCTTCGTGAATCATACAGTCTTGACGCTTGGTAGCAATTATCACCTCACTACAAAGCAACTCCTTAACAATTTAAAAATATTTACAGTCATTTATATTTAAAAGTATGTACCAATATAATATTTGTAATAGAGAAACTCAATTTTTACCTTAGAAAAGAAATATGTGTTATAACCACCACCCAATGATCGTTTATCAAATCTTATTGGTTCGTCTTTGGTCTCAACTTGAACATTCAAACATTTACACGACAAAATCATTTTTGATGAACTCGACGAGTTGAATTATTGTTTCTAAGCCGTTAGTATAATACCGGTTTAAGCAAGCACCGGATTCAATACCACCCCGAGTTCCTTTAGAACGTATTCTAGAGCAATTGGAGCGATTAAGATAATTTATAATCACAAATATATAAAACAGAATTCGTTCATCGGATAACGTTAAACTGTACACTAAGGAGCGGCGAACGGTGTATAATTTTTAGAAAATCTTTTTAAACAAAGGATAATCAAATGTTGGTTATAATAAAATAAAACAACAAAATTGAGAAAGGCATAAACAGATGTTTAAACAGCTGTTGAGCCGTTCTCATATGTCATCTGTCGATCTAACCTAACCTTCTGCAGAACAGATCTTAACACAATTTAGAAGTGCAGCCAACAATCCAAAACTACATGATTATTTCGTAGGTTGTTTTAATATTACTATTATGTACCGACTTCGGATTTCATATAACATATATTACAGATGCGTTTAGTATTTGTAAAACGTTTGTTTTAAATACAATTTTCGATAAATTATAGTTGATACACACTGTCTATGGTACTAGACACATAGGTATAAAACTAAAAAAAGAGAAAGTTTTAATTCGAAGTAGTCTCGTACCATTTCCAGAATTTATAATCATTTTCTATAAGTTTTTTCTCATACCAATCAATTTTTAAACTATTTTGAAAGTACAGTAGTTCAATACTTGTTGGTTTATTAGAGTGCCAAATAAACAAAATGTTTCAGTTATTATTATATTACTTTAAAATAATTCAATATCAAGTTTTTTATTACTTTATGGGAGTTTTTGCGGTTTTTGATGATTTACAAAATCGTAGTTTTAATAAATTTGGTAAAAAAAATAGTTAAATATTCAAAGCATAAAACAGCATAAAAATATTCATAAAACATTATTTACATTTTTATTTTTAGACATTGTAAATAAACGAGGAAAAGTAGCTGTTGTAACAGGAGGAGCACGAGGGATTGGTCTGGAAGTTGTAAGAAAATTGATAGAATGTGAGATGCATGTCATAATTGGTAATTTTATTTTATAATGTAAGAGTGTATAATATATAATAATGTTAGTCATACATATATAGGCTGAATTAATTTTTTTAAGTAATGAATAATTAATACATTTTTGAAATTCGACAAAAATCTAGTTAATTAAACATAAACTTTAAATTATACGAATTATGCATTTCACAGAATCGTCTAAAATATATTTATATAAACAAGTTCCAAAAGCACTCGGTGAATTGCATTAATGTATAGCACAATATAATACATTTTATTTTCAAATATTATGTTTTGTAAAATGCCAATAATACATAAAAAGTTCTTGTGTATTTGCTTTAATTACATATTTTCATTTTGAAAAATATAGTTAGTATTTAACTGCGGCGGATTGGCTAAAAATGTCAGCTCGGGAGATTACCGTATGACCGGCCCACCATCCAATAATAATAATTTTTCATAAAAGTCTCCTTTATTCATGTATAAAATGCTCGAAGAACTATTTACATCACATTTACACTACATTTTTATCATAATCTTACAATTAAATACAATATACTTAAATAAATTATTTTTAATCCAAGTACATCAGCCCAGTGTTATAATACGACTACCGGCCCACCAGAAACTTTCTCGGTATTCCAGTGGGCCAATCTGCCGCTGGTATTTAAATAACTATCTATAAATTAGACCAGTTATTGATATTAGCTGCTTATTTAATACTTATAGAAGGTGCTCTGGAGAAAAAAAATGAAAGTTATAATAATTTTACCTTAAAAAATTAAAACAAGTAGAGAAAAAATAATTTGATTTTATAACAACCTCAAATAAGAATCGCATGAAAAGTGAATTTATTTATAGTGAATTATTTTAAATTGTATTTGATCTTAGGATGTCGTGATGTAAAGGCTGGACAAAGAGCCATTCAACAACATATTTCAACAGATGCCTCTATTGAAATATATGCACTTGATCTTAAATCATTTACATCTGTAAAACATTTTACTCAACAAATATTAACAAAACATGATCAAATTCATTTACTTATTAATAATGGTAAGTTTTAAATGTTATAGTATTAACAGGTTTTAAAGTTTTATATATATATATTTATAAGTATTATAAATTTTAAATTATGTGTTGTAGATATTAACTTATTATATTATAACACAAATATGGATAAATAATTATTTATTTATTAATATGTAATATATTCTATAGCTGGTGTTATGGCTGTACCATTTGAAAAGTGTGAAGATGGTTTTGAAGCACATTGGACTGTGAATTACTTGAGTCATTTTTTATTAACGGAATTACTTTTACCAGTTTTAAAAATGTCTGGATTAGAAGATGAGAAGGCAAGAATAGTAAATGTATCATCCTGTGCTCATGAACTTTCTCCTATAATTAATTTTGAAATGATTAATAATAGGTAAACTTATTTTTAATAATATTATTTTATTTTTTAGATTACTAAATTTATTTCATGTTTTATATATTTTTTAGTCAAGGATACATCAGAAATGCAGCTTATGCAAAATCTAAATTAGCTCAAATAATGTTAACAAAGTATTATAATAAAAAATTATCTAACACTAATGTAAGAGTTTTAGCTGTGCATCCTGGAGTAGTTAATACAGAATTATTTAAGGATACATTCTTAAAAATGACAGCACCTTGGATTTTGAGATTCATTTGCAAAGTAAATTATTAAGAAATTAGTTGGCTAAAATGTATTGTATACTTTTTCATAATTAATTTGATTTTAAATTTTAGACTCCAGAAGAAGGAGCAAGAAGTATTGCTTATGCTAGTGTTTCTCCAAGATTAGAAGGATGTGGTGGTTACTATGGAAATTGTCAACCTTTGAAAAATTTACCTTATGCAGATGATGAAGAAACGCAAAAAAAACTTTATGATACATCTATGGCTATGGTAAAACATTTTTTAAAATGAAATTGAATTTTAAAAATATTAATTCTTAATTAGAATTAACTAAATTTCTATTGTACAATTTAAATTATTTTTATTTTCCAAAGACTGATTTAATTTCAAGTATTATAAATATAAGTAAATAAAAAATTTTTAAATTATTTCGGTACAAATAAAATTATTATATATCATTGAATATTTGTTTGTTTTATATGTTTAAAATTAATATAGTAAATTAAATTATTTTTAAGAAAATTATTAAAGTATTAATGAAATTTATTTTAAAAACAGATATAAAGAAATGTAGTTTTTTTCCAATATTTAATCCTTTTTATAATTTATAGATTCAATGTTTATATTATTGTTATAAAATATGAAATAATTCAAATAAGCTATTGGTTATGCACAAAATTTTTGTATTGCATAATTCATTTTTTTAACAATAATTTTATATTTTTACTTCTTGTTTACTTCTATTATCACATAATACAAGTACCAATTGAAAATCGAGATTATAGTCATATTATAAACAAGAGTAAAAAATACTATAGCAAAGAGCTTGTTAAGATAAAATTTGAGATAATTTATACATAGGTAGAATGAAACATAATGAAAGATCAATTTATATTTTTTACTGTTATACCTTATAATTTATCATCAGTATTACAATAGATTTTATATTTGAATTAAAAATTATAGTTATTAAAGCTTTGTTACAATTATAATAATTATATTATGATTTTAATTTTAGTTTTTTTATGTATTAGATGAATTTTTTATTTGATTTTTTTAACCATTTAGTAAACTTTATGAATAAATATTTTATGTAGATTATTATTTCATAGAAGAAACAAATAAAACAAATAATAAAATAACAAATATTTCATACTTATAACATTAAAAATAATTACAAAATAAAAAAAAACAAGATTATTAATTGTATAATTGTATACAATACGTAAAATAATAACAAATAAATATTAAAAATGTTTAAAAAATATATTGTGCTAATAAATTCTAATTATTACATACCCTAAATAAAATCCTTATTTCTTAATAGTTTTATCTCATAAGTATTGCACAGTATTTTTTATAAGAAAAAATTAATATAAAATAAACACAACATCTTTGTTCCTGGTAATACTTATTTAGTTACTTAATAGTTAATATACAGTATAACAGAACTACAACAGATTAAACAACTCAATATTTTTCAATTAATAAAATTAAACAATAACAAAATAATACAAAAGTTAAAAATTTTTAAATTGCTATCTAAGTATAAAAATTAACATTACAACTTAGACATAGCAGTTTGTAACTACAGATGTTATTTAAAATGTAACTGAAATTTTATTTTTTCTTGAATGTAAACATACAAATTATAATTTCAATATTTAAAACAACATTTAAGTTAAAATTTAAATAAATTGTTAGTTCAACTACTATGTTAAATACAAATGATTTCTAGAAGAAATATAATAAATACTTTTTGTAATAAAAAAAATGAAAATTATTAATTTGTTACAATACTGATTAAAGTTGTCAAAAAATTATTTAAAACTAAATGTACATACAATTGAGCACAATACTTCTTTTGGAAGCACATGTAGCACTTTTTTAATTTGTATGCAAACATTTTAAGTACAACCACAAAAAATACAAATATTGGTAAATAATATAATAACCAATTAAGTATTTTAATCAAAACTTAATTTATACTTTTGCTCATGAAATTAATGTTGGGTAACATTTTTTTTATATATATATATATATATATATTATTGGATTGACTTTAGGGAAAGTAGTTTGATTACAATTTACCCTGTGATAAGCTCAGATTTACTCCCTTTAATAATATAAAAAATACCAATATATTTTTAACGATTACAGCAGTAATCGTTGATGGTTTTAGATGTCCTAGTATTGAATGGTAATGATTGTGGACTCTCGGAAGACATGCCTTTGGATTTAGCTTGCTAAAATAAGGTTCAATTAGAAATAAATATACATTTATATAATAACACTAATCATTAAGATTACAGTGCAAATATTTCACTTGAATAAAGAAACAACTATACAATGTATTTCACTCAAATGGTAGCACAAAATATTTCTGTGAAGTAACCTTGAATTGAAATGGGGTTTTACTGAAATTGATGATTTTCACATCTCTAACCTTTTAAGTGTGCGTATGTGCAACAAAATTTAATTTTTTTTTTAATTGGCAACAGGTATTATTAATACCAGATTTAGACTGACCACATTTTTTAAGCATTTTTTTTATGATTGAAAATAGTTTACATAAAGATGGAATTGTAAACATTATTTAAATTCAATTATAGTTAAATTTTTATTTTAATGAATATATGACACAAAATACTCATTGTTATCTTATGAATTGTTTAATGAATTATCCATTATGTTGTTAACATATGTGTTAAATCAGGTGAATGTACAAGCCAAACTATTAGACTATATGTTCCTATTCAACGATTTCCAAAAGTATTATTTAGGCATTGTCTTACATAGTCTCCTGCATTTAAAACAGAACAACTCCAAACCATGCATACAACAGACAAATTAATAGAATACGACATCTATTTAATATAAAATGTTACATATAAGTAATTATTAATGAATATTTTGTGTAGAAATTATTTAAAATAAAATTTATATACATTTTTTTGCTATTAATCGGTACATTATTGAAATAGGAAAATAGTTTATTTATAAATAATATTTAAAAAATTAGTTCTATTCAATTTGTATGTTAAAAATATTTGCTGCCCTTTAAAAAAATGCAAAATGTGTAGTGCTTGTGCACATAATTTTAAAATCTTCAAAATATTTGTATTTTATTCAGGGGTGTACTAGTAGAGCTGAGAGGGCCTCAGTTTTCTCAGAAATTGTAGAAAAAATTTCTTAGTCTGCTTTTACACTAAAAATGTAAATTGTAGAAGCTTATATTATATTTATATCATATAAAATAAAATTTTTTTTCATTATTATTTTGATAATTTCCTATTATTATGTAGGTATTTTATTTTATTAATTTTGTAAAAAAGTTATGATCATACAAAAAAAAATTAAAACTGTTTACTTAAATTCAAATTTTTGTTTTTAGTTGGCTGAATTGTGAAATTTTGTTTACAGGATATTTTCCAGCTCCTTCCCCCAATTTAAATACGCCATTGATTTCAGTGTTCTCCAATATTCTTCTAAAAACACTATTTTAATCCAATGTCATTAAACAGAAATGTCATGTTACCATTTAACTGAAATACACTACACTATTAATATTTGATTTTGAACTTTTTGAGGCACTCAATTGGTATATTTATTTATTTATTTTAAGAAAACTAATTATAATAAACAAAAAAGTAAAAATGTTTTTACCTCCATAAGTTCTGAAGCAATTTGAACAAATAACTTTTCTACATTATCTGCTTGTTTTGCTGATGTTTCTAAATAACGCATATCATGCCTTTGAGCAAAATCTTGACCAACATGAGAAGGAATTTCACGGTCTTCTTTGTCTATTTTGTTACCTAATGTAAATTAGTACATAATGTAATATGTAATAAAACACTTGTAACTATAAAATAAAATGCTTTGTATTTACCAACTAAAACTCTTAATACTCTATTGTTTGCATATTCATCAATTTCTCGAAGCCAATCATTAAGACAATCAAATGTTGGTTGAGAAGTAATATCATAAATTAATATTAAGGCATGTGCCGATCGATAATAACTTTGGGTTATAGACCGGAATCTTTCTTGTCCGGCTGTATCCCATATTTGAAGCTGTCAAAGTTAAATAATAATAAGATCTTAACACAAACAGTTACATTATAATTATTGTATAATTATGATGAAAAAAAAGGTGTAAATGTATATTCAAAACAAAACGCAATAAAGATTATAATCATAAATATATTTTGAATATGTCAATTGACCAATGAAGTTTTTGTTGTCAGTTGCATTATTAATAGTATTATTCTTTGCCTTCCATTAGAAATATTAAAAAAACACCTTGGCAAAAAATGTCATCATCCTTATTAACCACCAAAATATACAAATACACTATAATGCTAAATTTTAATTAAACTAATAAATATATCCAATAATAAAAAATTACTTTGACTTTTTCGTTCTCTATTTCAATAGTCTTAATCATAAAATCAACTCCAATTGTTGCACCTTGACCAGGAGGAAACATCCCCTAAAATTAAAAAGAACAAAACAAAAATAATTATACTAAAGACATCTAGATTAATTTATTACTATTTATTAACATTTCTATAAAAACAGTGCATCTAATTTTATATCAGAATTTTTCTAAGAATTATTTACAAAATGTTACTTTTATTTTTAAATTAGGTATATTATATTCTATGGTATTTGAATTTATTCAAAGGTTTCATAGTTTAATTGACTTATTATTCTAAATTTGAAAGCAAAAAAAAAATCATTAAACTTGGAAAACTTCTCACTTGAAGTCAGAGTAAGACATATAAATGATATAATATTATGTAACATATAAACTGTGCATATCAGATCTTATATAAATAGTATTAATATAAAAATATTTTCTATGAAATAATTTGTATGTTGGATATATAAAATAATAATAAAAATGCTATAAGTCCACTTTCTGATTTAATGAGCTATTATACACTTATGTATTTAACAATTGGGCATTAATTCATAGGTAAAAGATTAATTTTACCACCTTATTATTGGATAATGGCTAAACTACTAACACTAATGTTAAATTATCAAATAATTGACAAATTTTTACAAAATTCAAAATATCCTTTGAGATATACATAAAATAGTTTTAAGTTTTTTGCAAATAACGAATATATTTAATATTTTCATGATCCTAAACCATTAATATAATGTAAATATATTTCTATTTACTTTTATGACATCAATAGATTAAAAAAGTAAAATATAATGATTTTATAAATTTAGATGGAATTATTGATGACATAATATCAGATATGTACAAACAAGAAGTTGGAGATCAGTTAATGTGGAAAAAAGATAAAGAAAGCCAATATTATACAAAAGTAAGAGGAGGCAGGGAAAAGGATAAGATTATAATTTATATGATTTATTGCACACATTGTAATAAATTATTTTATTATAATTTAAAAACTGTAGAAATTGAAGAAGAGATAAAGGAAGGAAGTTAATCATTAACAAATATAAGTTTTTCAAGGAAAATACTAAATAAAAAAGTTATATAAATTATTAATTATGGTTAATAATTTATCAAAACATTTTTAACAACAAATTAAGAATGAACAAAGCATGCAATTTATAAAAATAAATAACACAAATTTATATAATTAAATATTTTTTTTTAACGAGTAATAAAAATATAATAGTTTTTCAATATTTATCAGTAGAATAAAAGTAACAATTTTTCAGTTAGTAACAGTTTTCATTCTTAAAGTTCTAAATAAATAAAATAAGGAAATTTCATATTAGTTCATGTTAGTTTTTAATGTTTCTTAGTATTTTCAACTAGAATCTTAATAAAAACAATAAAATACAAATATATATTAAAATAATTTCAATGAACCTAAAGTTTACATACTTGTGTGAATCGTCGAACTAAACAAGTTTTACCAACACCAGCATTACCAACAAGTACTACTTTAAATAAAAATTTATAGTCTTCCATTTTAGTGGTTAGCCAAATAAAGTTACATTAATTTCAGGAGATGAATATAAATATGTTAAATTACTTATAATACAAATAAAATTTACAAAAGACTTAGAGAATTAAGTTTATATTAATTTACAGCTTCATATAATTTGCTAGACCATTATGAAAAAGAGTATAACAACAAAACATAGAATGGATAAAAGAAACAACGGTATCATTAATTAGTCATGAATATCAAACAATGGAAATTGCAGGTAAAAGGTTTTTTTCATTATTCCCATAGTTGAGTATGTGTGTGTGAGCGTGTATCGTATCAATATATCTGTGGTGTGTGCACTCTTGTATTCTATACACCTATATTTATGTGTGTAATAATAATCATTAACTATTTGTTGATAAGAAAATTTGTATGATAAGGATTGTGAAAAAGACAACAAAATATTACGTTATCGCCATAGACGTAGTTATCGCACGTACACTCACATTATACCATTGAGCAATACCATTACCACATACTGTATGCATACTGTACAACTATTTTTACATAGTATGTGCTAAAGTTTTGCAATAATGCTTTATGTTTGCCCAGTCCACCAAATACGGTATTATTGACAGTATAATCACCGTATTTTATTATAATAAAATATGTATTAAATAATAATAAATAATATTGTTCTACATGTGAGCATAAATCATATACACTTATTATGTTGGCTACACTGAAAGCCCTGATGATTGTGGGCGGTATCTATTGCGGGGAGGGGTATTTCGTACGACGGCAGTGTAATATGTGTTATATATGTTTTCCACGTCTTTACAGTTCTACCGTATTGTATGCACCGTTTCATACATTGCGTCGGCCATTTTGTACTACGTTCTGCTTAGAAATCTGAGTAGTCGGTGCTACGGCCGAGGCGCGTATGTCAAATGTTCCATCAGTCCACACTGTTATTGGATAGCTGTTCGCATTGTCTTAGCTGTTTATTTCGTGGTCATTCCATTCCAGCCGTCAACTTTCAAGCAGCCATGGGAGAGTAAATTACAAATTGGAGAAATTTATTGGCGTCCAAGAGTTGCAGGGTCGACGGTGAATTCATATAACGTTTATGTTCGGGTGAGTGTACTTTTGTTTCATTGTATTCAAGTTTTCATTTGGTTCGTCTCGATTTTTGTATTTGTTTCTAATTATAAATTTGTCTAGTCGTAATTTATTCTGCTCGACTGATAGTGAAATAATGTTTTTGAGGTTTTTCGGTTGTAGCGGCAGCCATGATGTGCGTTCTATTTTTTGTTGTTACGGGATACTAAAGATTTACCAAACTACATTTTAAGTTTGACTGTTAGTTTGGTTTGCCGTATCTTTTTAACTATTATTTTCTTTTAGCGGCTTCTAATAATGCTTATTATTTAAATTATTTTATTTTTATTATTTCAAATTACTTATTAGGTATGTATTGTGCTTGTATGTCATTGAAGTGTGACACCACCATTAAGAGTATCTTGAATAAACACATAATTAAATATTTATTCCAAACATATTTGTTACTTAGAAATAAAATATAATATATGGATATACTTTAAAATAATTTATTTATCTTGGTAGTTTTATTAAGACTAGTAATTTTTTATAATTTAGGTACTTTTACTATATAGTTATACTACACTAATTTTTTTTATGCATTTCATAAAAATCTAATTAAAAAGTAATTTATTGTTTAAGTTTGCAACTTTAATTTAATAAATTAACATTTATCCAATTCATTATTCATATTATTTGACTTTAAGAATTGTACTAAAGTTAAAAAATATTATTAAATCCTATTAACTGCTCTAAAATATTCTGTTATTGTATAGGCATTATTTAATGATTATATATTTTTCTATATTAAAATAATACTTCATTTTACTGTGAATTCTGTTTTCATTTATAATTAAAAGTATTTGAAAAAAAACTAAAACTCAAGTTAATGTTTAATTTGAATATTTCATCACAATTAAAGTTAGGCCAACCTTGGTAATATAATTTTTTTTACTTATTATTATAATTATTTTTTTTTGACTTATCCAATTAAATTTTAAACTAAAGAATATTTCGTATTACATTGATATTAGTTGGATCTATGTTCAATGTAACATATATATATATTATTTATGTTTAATTTCAATTAATTAAAAAGCATTTAATTTATTTTATAAATCATTATTTATTCAAACTATTTATTTAAACAAATCATTTTTATATTAAAAAAAAAAATTAATTTTTTTATATTTTTATTATTTTTATAAGTATATTTATTAATTATTATTAATTATTGCACCTAAAAAAAGATTCTGTTATAAGATTATATATTATAAACATAATCATTAATTCAAACCATAAAGAAACTATGTTTTAGTATATTGTAATGCTATTTGGAATCTTTCATTTAAAATATGAATAGTTAATCTTAATTTTAGAAGTTTCTTAATATTTGATTTACAAATTAATTAAAAGCAATTCTAGAATAAGTTTCCATGTTCAGATTTATTACCCAAAAAATATAAAATAAACTTTTTTATTTTTATCAATAATACATTCTGTATATATCTGATATTTTATAGAATATCTAAAAGTATTTAAGTAAGTAATATATTTTAATTACATAATATTTTGTAACTTATTTTATTATTATTTTTGAAATAATATTTAATAATAACTAATTTAAATTTTGAACACTTTAAGTAATATAGTATATTAGTGTGTTAAAATGATTCATACATCTTAAAAGACATATAGGTTCACATTTTAAAAAATATAAAAGACCTACTTGAAAAATTTAACTACATCTCTTATAGCTACATTTTTTTTGGTGAATAATATGTATAAAAAATATATATTTTTTTATTTTAAAATATTAAATATATATAATAATTTTATATAACAACAATAAATATATTATTATCAGTATGTTTATTTGATATATTGCATTTTTAGTGTGATATTTTAGATAATTATCATAGTTATTGATTTGTTTAAATTATATTCTTTAAAATAAAAAAAGAAACAGTTCTTCCTTTTGCATTGGTTGTTTTTACACGTTAAAATTAATTTATATATTTAAATAGGTTAGATTACTTAATATCCTTTAAATACTCATTTTCAAAAACTTGCAATATGTAGAAAAAATTATTATAAATTGATATTTTTTGTAAATGTAGTATTAATATAAAAATTTTGTGAACATTTTTTCTTCTATACAATGATCAATAATTTTTCCATCTAATACGTGATTTTGTGCATTGTAATTCACTACTTATTAATGTCTTAGTATAAAAATAGAATATATTTTAGATATTTATGTTTTGTGTAACATATTTTATCATTAAATATTATTTGTTGATAATTGTATTTTACATTTTGTAGTTAATTTTGTTTCAAATACCATAACTAAAATATAAATTATATTTTATTATGTTTTAGCTGTGGATGTATTAAAAAAAACCTTTTAATCTGATCAAAATGAAGCCTACAATGTCAGCTAAAGAAAAAGAAGTAGCAGAAGAGTATTCCAATGCCTTAGACGACCTCAACATTAATAGCAAGCCTTTGATTAACATGTTGACGATGCTTGCTGATGAGAATTCTGCTTTTGCGCCAATCATTGTACAGTGTATTGAAAGACAACTGCATAAGGTTTTTAAACTTTATAATAGTAATGAATATTTTAAAATCATAACAGAAAGATTTTCTTCACTATATAATCATAGAATTTTAGATGTTAAATATATTGATCCTACTTAATTTATTATTAAAATCTAATAAAACTGGATCATTTTTTTCTTATTGGATATTAATTATAATATCTACAATAAATTACTTAAAAGCCTAATATGCTAATTTTGGATCGTGACAGTGTTGAAATATCTCTCTGGTTATGATGACATATATTTAGTTAAAAATACAAATATATGTGAATATTTACAATATTTAAACAAACATGAAATAAAAATATATGATGTGACTAAATATGGTATACGTCCTTTTTGGTCCTCCTTTTTTTTTTTAATTTCATCTGGTAAATATTTCTTTTTAAAGCACACGAAAACATGAATACTAAATGATATGCTTTTAAAATATTTAATTGGTAATTAGAAAAAGTGTATTGTTAATTAATAATACTAGTGATGTATTTAAGATAATATTTATGAAAGTGTAAATAAACTCTGAAATTTGGTTAATAATGTCTATTTAACATTTGGTTTACTTCTATATTCACCTTTATTTGATTCATAAACATATTGGTATGAATTTAAAATAATGTTTCATTGATATAATGATCATTTTTTTGAAATGATTAATTTGTGTTGGGAGATTTTACTCCAGAAGACTTCAAACATGTACAGAAGATAATGAATGTGTGTATATCATATTATAGATCGATTGGTATTATTGAAATGCATTTGGAGTATAACCTTTATGTTCTTTATTACAAGTAGTAATAAAACATAAAGGTAGGTATTTAATAAAATGCAATCACAATTAGTATTATTGTGAATATTGTATTCTTAAGTATAAATAAAACACAAGCAAAAAATCAACAACCTCGAAGTTCTTATGTATGGTCTTTGTGACTATGTCCAGGTCACTATTGTTAGATTTTCATGGGAAGGGAATAGAAAAAGCTGATTTAAATCACATGTTTTGTGATATTATGAATTAATTGAAATAAAATAAAATTGTATATTGATAGATTTTAGAATAATGAATTTATTCCAAAATATGTGGAGTGGGTTCAAGAGTTATACAACTGAATTATCTTCGGCTGCAATTATTTACACCATGATACCAACATACAAATATATTTATTGTATTATACTTAATTAATATATTAAAACTTAAATTTGTTTTTATCTATACACATGAATATGTTTTTTTTTAATCCTAGAGACATTTTTTTTATGAAGTAATATATTTTTTATTTAAATTTACATGTTTTAACTATATTGGTGAAAATAAAATGTTACAAGATGTTAATTATATCTTAACCGACCTCATGTATTTGGGAAAGTAAATAATGAATTTGATTTTGAAGATTAGATAATATTAATATATATTAAAGAAATTAAATTCTATTTTTTTAAATTTTTGTTGTTCAGTTATTATATTGTAAAATAAGATATTCTAATTATTTATTAAATACATAAGCTATTTTTTATTTTTTATAATTGACATGTTTAAAAAAATATTTTATACAAGCATGAAAATAATTATTTTGTAAATTTCATTAAATCTATAAACTTAATTTTAATAACATATAAAAGTATTTAAATAAACTCAAAGAATAAAATATGATTGGTTTGTAATTGTTTAAACTAAGAAAAACTAAAGTAATTTAATTACAACCAAATATTTAAAATAAACATTGCTTAGTCTATGTATAAAAAAATATATATAAAGTTATAAAATATCAAATCATCTGCATTTTTAGTGTAAAAAATAATATTAAATACTTAATCGAGTTATAGTTTATTATATTACTGTTTGAAATAATTTTAGAACAATGATAGTTAATAATTAAACATGATCTATAGTAATTTAAATATAATTTAGTTTTAATCTAATGTATTTTACTATTTGATTTTTAATTTCAAATTCTGTAACTTTGTCTTCAATTTATATTTTAAGAATTATTAATCAATTTACTATTCATAATATTCCTTTATTTAATAATTATTAATTTTTAATTTTAAATTGAGTATGTTTAAAAAATTAACCTTAAATAATAAATATTTTCATAATATAATTTAATCTTTGTATATTCTAATAAATAACTAGTATTATGTATTTTCAACTAGAAAATATTGAAAATTAGGACTTGGTTTTAAAAAATTACTTAAAAAATAATAATAAATCTAAAAATATAAAGCATACATTTTCAACAGTTTCCATGTTTAAATAAATCAAAAAAAAATAAATTTGTGAACCATGTGAAATATAATTTAATCAAAATGTTAATATTTATATTTATTATTTTTCATGAATCTTACTAAAAATTACCTTTATAAAATAATTAATGTTTTCAAACACCAATAACTTAAAAAAATTAGAAGATTATTATTAGAATAATATGTACTTGAAACATATTTGTATATTGGAAAAAAGATGCAAATGCTTCAACATATCTGAGTTCTATTAATAATACAATAAGTAGAAGAAGCTAAGTATTTTTAAATTAGTTAACCTGTATTATCCTTATAATTGAATCATTGAATGTTTATTAGAACTATAAGGTTATTATCTTTTTCTTTTTATTATATTTTGTTATTTTATCATTCAAGTATGTTAAAAAAGAATCTTTGATGTTGAAATTAAACATTTTAATTAATTTCTAATTCCATACATATTTTCAATGTTGAACAAAAATCTTGTACTATTTGCATTATTATTTGAATGTACTATTCTTCTGAAAGTATTTAATAAATATGGTCTAAATTAAAAAAAAGTAACTAGTTTTATATTGAGATCTAAAGATTCTTGTCTGCACATTATGGAGAATTCAGAAGATACTCTGGAGGACTACAAGGATGAAATCATGCTCAGGTTTGTTTTTAAACTTACATTTAATATTAATTATATTCAGGTGCAAGCAGACAGCAAGTTACCGGTGCTTTACTTAATCGACTCAATTATCAAAAACATTGGACAACCATATATTCCACTTTTCGTTAAAAATATTGAGAAAATTTTTGCTAGTACTTTTATTCAAGTAATTATTGTTTTTTCTTTCTTTTATGCAAAGTTATTTAAATAAAACTTTTAATATTAAATGTTTGTCTTAGGTAAATGAAAAAACTAGAGCAAATATGTTTAAATTACGTTCAACTTGGTGTGATGTTATATCACCCTCAAAACTCCATGCCCTTGATATAGCAATTCATGCAATTGACAAAAACTGGCCTATTAGTGCTGCTCCACCAAACAATATTCATGTTAATCCTAAATTTCTCAATAACGTACATATTCATTTAAAATATTTTATTCTTTAAATCAAAGTTTACTTATGATATGAATTACTTTATGTTTTAAAATCTTCATTTACAATGTTTTATACTGTAATTATTAAATAAAAAATAAACAATTATTTATCCAAATAAATCTATAGTGATTCATTGATTATGTAAACCTGGTAGATTTTAGTATAAGTTGGCATCAAATACCTTTTAATTTTTTAGGTCAACAATTCTGAGACCCCAAAACCTATTTCACATCCTACTTTACCTATTGAAGTAGACGATGCTTCATTGCGTGAAAAGTTTATCAAGAAACAAAAGGAATTGCTTGAACTTCAGCAAAAAAAAATTGAACTGGAATTATTACACACCAAAAATCAAATTGAAATGCAAAAGAAAAAAACATTGAATAAGATCAACTTATCCAAAGTAAATATTGTTGTTATAATTTATTAATTATTAAATCTTATTAAAATTATTTTGTACAGAATTCTTTTAACACCCCTGGTACCTCTTCATCCAATACAAATGTTCCATCTTCAACAAAAGAACTTTATTCTAAAATACATGTATTGTCTGATAATCCTCGAAGAATAGTTAAAGATCCATTGAAAAATGTTGATGTGCCGGTTATCTATCCAGAAACAGCAGTCGCATTACCCTTAAAACCTACTGTTCCGTCTTCCAAAAAATGTCAATCAACATCTCTACCTACTGTACATCAATCATTTAAAAATACTCCTCAACCATTTGTATCACCACAGCAACATACACAAACGGTAATTTATTATTATTGTTAATTTTATTATTATCATATTAATAAATTGGTTTTGTTGATCTACAGGTTTCTAATCAATTCTTGAATGTAACTCAGCAAATTCCTAAAATCAGCCCAGTTAGTACACAGTTATTACAAACTCTAAATCGTGATCCTCGTTTAAGAAAAGTGGAAAATGCCAAGCCATCACTTTTACTTAATGAAGATGTAAAACAGTCAGTTCAAAAAAATAAAGATGAAAAAAAATTTGATAAATCTAAAAGAGATGGTAGTAAGCATCGTGATTCCAAAAGAAAAGAAAGAAGTTCTAGCTGTTCACCATCTAAGAAAGAACCTTCAAAAAAATCTCATAAAAAAATTGACCGCAAGGAAAGAAGTCCAAGAGATGAAAAATATCATAAAAAAAAAGATGAAAAGAAAATTAAAGAAAAACCTGAAGTAAAAAAAAAAAAAGTACCATCAAATATGAAAATACCACAGGCTGAGATTGTAGCATTAAACCATGAAAATCCTTTACAAGATGATAAGTATTTGATCAAGGATGATTCTAGAAGTGATAATCTTGATATAGATCATCATATTGAAGCTGTTGATACAACTGTTCCTGAAGAAAAAAATGTGGTCACTGAAGAAGTTAATGATGTTAAAATCATTAATTCTGCCATAATAACTTCTGAACTTCCTAAAACAGATTCACCTCTAGAGGATTCTGATTCATTAAAACGCCTTCATATGTATATGCAAACAATGAAGAAATCTCCTGAACCATCAACTGCATCATCTTTAGAAATGAAGAATGACTTAGACATCCGTGCAGTAAAACCTAACCAAAGTAAGATTAAAATGTCTGATCAACTATATTTTATCATAAAATTCAATGTTGGCGATTTGTTGTTATTTTTAAATAAACTGGATAATTTTCTGCGCCACAATAAAATGAAAACATTTCACCCTTCCATTAAGTCCTATTATCTTGCTTTTTCTTTATACATATGTGTGTTAATGTCTTACTACAACATCCATATTTTTTGTGGATGTTCTTTATTTATTTAATTATTATTTGTATAAATAATAAATAGTGTGCTTAAAATTGCACATGCCTGCATTGAAGACTTATTTTAGTGACATGATAATTATCTAATTATGTGAAGTTTTTATCTACCAGTGTCTTTCAATAAAAATAGAATGTTGTTTCAATTATATATTCAACATTACAGTCAAAATTTAATTAAATATATGTAATAATTAAATCAAAAAATAATAATAAGTAGGTTACATAAAATGTGATAAATATATTTTAGATTCTGAGCGGAATACAAAATTGGGATTTTTTCAATTTATTTTATGGGTGCTAACTAATAAATTAAAACTAAGGTAATTTCTTTAACTGTTTCTTATTTTTATTTATATATTTACACATTTTATACTTGGTGTTGAAAAATTTAATTTTATAGTATGAAATGGATTTTTATAATTGTAAGTCAAAAGTTGGTGTTATATAATTTTGACAATTTTGTCATATAATTATTTTAGTAATTATACAAGTAAAATAAGTCTAAAACATCGCATTATTGTATTGGAATTGTTTCATGATCATTTATTATATTATGAAAAATGTAAAATGTTTATTATGTATAATACGAGTAAATTACAAGAAGCAATTATTGTACTTATATAAGTAATTATTTTAATGGTACAGGTTATTGTTTAAAAAAAAAAAAAAATGTGAATTAATGGAACAACCATTAAAATCAACTTCGCTCAGAATCGTTTTATTTTTTTTTATTTTTCCGTGATCATTGCAATTTGTATCAGGTATATATAAAAACACTTAAGTTGCACATCTTAATAAGTTGTCTGCCTAGTGTACGGAAAGTATTTGTAGTTTATCTACTTAAACCAGATTTTGAATATGTGGTACATATTTGAATTTTTATGAAAACTAAAGGTATTCTTGCAGACACAATAATCACACAACAAAATGACATTGACCTAAGAGTTATAACCTCGCCTGTGAAGAGGACCTCAGATTCAATCAAAGCAGATGATACTGAACCTGCTGCAAAAAAAAGCAAATCTGAAATCATTGATGAGTAAGTTCCTTTGATTTTTGTATTTAATAAACTAATTAAAATCTTATTGTGATAATTTCTCTTCGTGTTATCTTTTTAAGCTTCAGAGTCCTTTCTAGAATTGTTAATTTGTTATAAAAATGTAATAGTAATTTTTTTCTTTTATTTTAATTGGTTAGTGGAAATTGGAACGTTTCCACTAAAAGTGTACCTTTCCCTTTGCTACCAATACCCATTTCCACCAAATCAATTTCTATTACATAACTCACTAGTTAAACAAATTTTGCACTATTATGCTAGATATTAATGTGGTCCATTTTAAACTCTGCAATGAATTTAATTTTGTTGACATTAAAATAAAATATGATAGCAATAATTTAATACCCCCCCCCATACCAACCTGGAGAAGTATTATAGCATAATATAATCAGCGGCATAGTTAAGGGGGGGGGGGGGGGGTTAATGGGTTATAATTTTCATATATAATTTTCACAGTTTCAACAAACTTAATGATAACAAATATTATATTTTAACTTATGTTTAATGTACTTATACAAATTAAAAAGTTAATTCTTAATTAGGAGAGATAATTTAAACCACTCCTCCAAAAAAAAAAAAAATTCTGGCTACGCCACTAAAATTATATATCCATATATTTATAAATCTAAACCTAAACAAAGTACTTGAAAACAAATTTTTTCATATACCCATTTGCACTTTTATGTTGATTAAATGAGATAAATCAAAGACAATCTACCAATTATTCCATACTACTCTACAAGTATTTCAGTCTATGGATAATTTATTTTTCATATTTATGAAAAAATAATTCATGTACTTGTAAGTGAAATAGAAATTGATTGGGTGGAAACATGTATCGGTCAAAATGTAATTTGGTAGAAACGTTTTACCCTCTAATAGAATTATATATAACATTTATTAAAATTACAAGTTAAAGTCAATCTTTTCTACCACCTTGTGAATTGAAAATTGTTTTTATCTTTTGGTTTTAATTATACTGTTATAATGCATCATAAATTATTTGATGAAAACAAATTTTTAGATGTTGTAGTATGATTTAAATTTTATTGAGTTACATTATTTAAGGTTTATCTTTCAATCCTTGCAAGAAAATAAATTATGTTCTGTTAATTGTATGATAGATAACTACAATTATTTTTTAAAAATTGGATTATTTGTTACATTCAAAAAGTAGTAAAAATCTTATCATTATTTAAAATATATACTCAAAAGAGCATGTTCCATTTTTGACTGTACAAATTGTATTTACTATCCAAATGGAATTTCAGTTCCAAAATAAGAAGATCTATTTGTTTTCTGAACTATTCATATATTTATCTAATTTCAAAATTTTAAATATAGAGCAATAGCATAGTTGTAATTCTAAAATTATAAAAAAAGCAAACAGTATATTACTAGTGTATTTTAAGTTATAAAACATGTAGTTATGAATATTGAATTTGAACCTTCTCTTCCAGTGTTTATCCCTTTATTTACTTTTTGTAGCTTCCTGTCTTATTGATTTATTGTAATTAAAAAAATTATGATATTTTAAGCTCTGACAAAAGCATAATTTTTAAAAACTATATTTATGTTTTGGATTTCTATTTGATCAGTTAAAAACATAATTTTTATTTTTAATAAATTATATTGTGTAATATGTATATATTATACATGTATAATTATATTTAATATTAATATATAGGGAATATTAAATTTCTATTTTTAATATATAAGATCAGTAAAGATAATTTTATTTGGTTGAAGACTGTAAGTTCAAAAATACATTTTTTTTTTTTTTATTGAAAATATATAAGCTATAAACATCAAATTCTTAACTATTTCCAAGTACATATTTTTATGGTTTTTTTACATATTAATTTATCTATTATATTATTATATAGGGGCAGGAATAGGTATTATCTTCAATATATTAGTATCTTACATTTGTGAATTGTATCTTGTACCTAGATAATTTTTGTAGCTGTGTATCTTTATATTTTTTTTTTCTTTTTTTTTTCTTAAAGATATTACAAACAAATTAAAATACATTATTTTCTAAAAAAAAAGACAATTTTAAATTTACTTTATGAAATCATTTTCAAACAATCACAAGAGATAAATCAAGCAATTTTAGCTGGTTGTTTTTACTCTTTATAAACTTCGGTCATTACCAAAATTACATGAGCATGAACAACAAAGATTACAAAAATGTATGTAATAATAATATAGAAAAATATTCCAGTTTAGTCAACTATGATAATATTCCTATTGAGGGGAATGACATTGATATTTTTGTTATACTGTAATGCAGTGGCGTAACTGGGAAAAAACCTAGGGGGGGGGTAATGCAATAAATTTATTATTACCAAAACCCTGACAGCCCTCCCCCTCACCAGTTAAAACATATTTTTATTGTATATATATTTTATACACTATATCTAATTGTTTAATTATACATACATTTTTTAACTCATTTCATGGTTTAGATAAACATAAATTGTAGATTATCTAGTAATAAATGTTAACATAAATTGTAGATAGCATTTACTTCTAGGTACCAATATTATTAAATAATATCCATAAGAGTTCATTAATAAAAGGTGCTATTTGTACTGTTGGATCATTTGGGTGGAGGGGGACAAAATTAGACCTTCATCTCTCAAAAAATTGTCAGAGGGAGCACTCGCCCTCCCACAATTACGCCACTGCTGTAATGAATCCGAGAGTAAACAACAATAGTCCATAATTGATTTTTCTTAGATTTTAGAAGTCGTGTACGTACTTCAATGATCAGAACCATGCTAGGTAATTACCCTACGGTAAAAAACATTATTTGTTTGTTACAACACAAAATTCTGTTCTTCAGCACCAGTTGAAAGAATGTCTTTTTCAGCTGGCTTTATATATTCGCCACCACGTTCTAGGTTATACAATAAAATATAAAAAAAATTAATATTTCTCTTAAGTAATTTCTTTATTTTTAAAATCAAGTAATTAAATTAAAGTTATTTAATTCTAATAATTGATAATAGAGCGGATAGGCCTGTTACTCCAACCCATAATAAATTTTTGTTTCAATTTTTATAGAAAATAAATAATATTGAAATACAATGGATTTTTATACTTTTTCCTACTTAAATAATAATTTAAAAAATAATAAATAATATCTTAAGTTTTAAATTTAAAATGGTGATAAAAATATCTAGTATTTAGTATCTTTTAGAAATTTTAAATGTATATTGTATCCTAGGTTGAAGTTGATGTATCTAGTAACTTGATACTTTTTTAAAGTGTCTTGCCAATCCCTGAATATAAGCATGAAGAATTTTGAATTTGAAAATATTGTTCTTTAACTTAAACATTTTAGTATTTAGGCATATTTTAAGTATTACTATGTGTTTGTGTTAGCTTAATAATATTACTTATTTTATAAAATATATTACTTGATTAATCAGACAAATAATTTATTTAATACTTATCAGTGGTTTAAAAATAAATAAATGTTTATTAATATTGTAGGTTTTACAGCAACTGGCTACTATAGGATTATAGTTTCAGCATGTATACTTATTGAGCTGTAGTAAGATACTTTAAATTAGTATTTAAATTGAGATAACATAATTTTTTTCAAATTATTAAGATATAGATAAAAGATACGTTTATAAAATTCATTAAAAATAAAAGATATTTCATCACTTATTAACTTCTCGTATGAATATTATAATTTTAATGTTACATATATTAATAAAATACTATGTTTCAAAATATAATATCTGTAGGATAAAATATAATAAAATAAGGTATAGATTATATCTCAGTGGTTTCTAATTTATATAATTTTATCTTATTGATTATTGTTAATTATATGTGTATCGTAATGTAAATTAAAAAAACTATTCTTAGGATATAATTATCTATAATTTCATATACCTGAAACCTGGTATCAATTTTTAAAGTTGCACTAAAAAATAATTCAAAATTATTGAATTTATCTTATTTTGTTTGAAGTATTCTAAACTATTAATTTTTGGAAAATATAAAATAATATTTATAATGTTTGTGTACATCCCTTACATCTCTGTAAACAACAGTTTTTTATCCTTCAAAAAACAAAATATTTTCTACAGTGAATTTTTTAACAGATACTGTAATAATTAACATTACTAATTTAACTAAAGGTAACTGAACTTATAGTCCAAGATCAATTCATAAGACTTAATAAAATTGCATTTTAATGTTAAGTCTAGATCTAAAAAATATCCCGTTTTGGAAATGTAGCGAAATAAATAACATACTTATGATTTTTATGTTACAAATTATAATTCTTACACAAATTTGATTGAAAATTAACAGTAGTTAAAATTATAATAACGTGTAAATTTCAACTTAATAAATAGGGGTAAAAATAGGGCTCAAGTCTGAATAACCCTAGAACAATAATTTTCAGAATTACAGTAAAAATACTGAAAATCCCTTGCATTTTACTATTGTTATTTTAAATTGCTTCGACTTAGGAAGTTGATTAAATCTCCACTCGTCTCGATTTATTATTTCTCTACATCCCCTACGCACACACCGACAGCCCTCATATTCTCAATCGTATCTAACCATCTATTTTTTTAGTCTTCCTCTTCCTCTTTTCACTTCAACGTTAATTGGGTAGAACACGATTGCGTACGTTTGTCCTTTTTGGCAATACGATTGCGTATGAAATTGTATACAACGTTGCCAAATCTACTAATTTCACTAATAATAGTATTAATAGTAAAGATATAGAGATCAAAAAAATCAAAAAAAAAATATATATATATATTTATAAACAAATAATATAAATAATAGGTATAAACAATAACAATAAATAAAATTGTTTTTATTTAAATGAAATTATTGTTAATAAATTATTTGAAAATTCTTAAATTTGGATTCCTTGACATTTATAACCTACTACTTTTACTGAAACTCAGAAAATACCGTATAATATAACGGATATAACTAAATTTCGTTATATCTGATATATTTGATATCATTAACAATAAATATAGGTAATTAAAGCAATAAAACGCAAAGTATTTATTAACTTTTTAAGTTCTCTCGTATAGGCATTTGGTGTACACCAATGGTTTTAAAACTGTGGTACGCGGATGACCGCATGGTGATAGAACGTATATTAAAAATTAAATATAAATTCATATATTAATTTAAAAACAATAATAAATTTGTATAAATAAATAATAATTTCATTGTAATATTTTATTGTCTTTTTATTTAAAATAAATGTAACTATGTAAAGCTTATATGGTTCTATTTTTAAAAAGTTTGAGAACCGCTGGTATACACCAATACCGTTATGAAAATTGGCATCAACATTTAAAACTTCATATGCAATCGTGTAGTTAAAAATCAGGTAAAATCGTACGGAATCGTGAGCTTTAAAAGGTATTGCCGATAATGAACACGTACGAAATCATCGTGTATTACCCCGTTAATTTTCATAACAACTGTTACTGCATTTATTTCCTTTTGTCCCATCACATACCCAAACCATCTCAGTCTATATAAAACATTATCAGGGCCGGATTATAGTCAAAATACGAGAAGGGCTATTACTTTTAGTGAGGCCCTTCTACAAAAAATAATTTAATTTTCTTTTCAGATTTAGTTATTTGTAACTTAAATATTAATTAAATTAAGTTTGGTCTGTTTGTATATTATTGAAAATTATTATAAAATTTTATTTTTTTAACATTTATTTGATGAAAAAAAATTGGCAGCATATTGTGACATGGTGCTATAGCCCCTCCCCCTTTTATCCAGCGCTGACCATCATTTATGTAATACTATGTAATTAATTTATATTTTTTCAATTTTACATATTGGATACAACATAGATATTATATAAGTTTTTTTTAACACACAATTTAACCTAAAATACATTTTAATCACAGAATTTCAACAGTCAACTTTTTTTTTATGTTTATATACCTACTGGCTGCAATTAAACACCATCAATAAACTTAAAATGTTTATCTTTTATATTAAACGTGATATAATAAATGTTGCTAAATTTAGATGGAAAGTTGTTATATTGGATCATGCTATCAGTATTAATAAGAGACATAAAATATGGTTTTCCGATTTGTCAAATGTATGATTGTAACTTGAAGGCTGTAGCCTGTATTTTGTACTGATACTGTTCCTAAACGCGATCTAACTTCATGTATTATAATTATATCATTAATTTTTATAAATTAATTTTCAATCTTATATTTTGTATTGTGTCATGTATGTTTTAATTAGTTTCTTATTTATTTTCATTGCGGTAAAAATTATTTTCAGACTTTTTGGGGCAGAAGATGTAGATTTGCGTACATTAACTGCTCCTCCTATTGTACCTACGCCCCCTCCTCCACCACAAATATCAGAAAATCAAAATCTTGATGTTGGAAAATCTTGGGCAAAGTACAAAGAAATAAAACCAGATACATTTAAAACGCCTTATAAATCTCCAACAAAAAAAATTCCAAGTGAATTAAAAGAAACATTAGTAGATAATGATACAATGGATGTAGATATGAGAGCTAAACCGACCCAAAACAACAAAAGTCATATTCTAAGACAGGCCGAAGAAGCTCTAAATGCAGGAAGTATATCTTTTGATGAATACAAAAAAATCATGTGCCAAGTAAGAATATTAATAATATTTTGATATTTTATTAATAAATCGGTTTATTTTTAAAATATTTATTTTTAAGGTAATTGAAATGACCGAAGTGGAAAAATTAGAAGAAGCAAATATTATTGAGGATGGGAATACTAAGTTAAAGGAATATACTAATCCAAAAATAACTCAGACAGTTAATGGAAATGAAACTGATTCACAATCTAACTTGGAAGCAGTTGTTAATGTTGAAAACCCTCTAGTTTCTGATAACTTTCCAGGTCCTGGCCCTTGGAACATTAATAAAAAACCAAGTGATATCAGTGGAAGTGATAGTGATAGTTCTTCAAAAAGTGGTTCTACTGGTTCAGAAGAAACAAAACTAAATAATAAGAAAACAGATTCCGAAGAACGATCTATGTTTAAAAGACGTAGAACTTTTAAACGCCACGAAAAAGAAAATTCTAAAATTCGGGGTTGGAGAAATAACAAAAGTTGGAATTCAAGATTAGAAAATGGATCAAGATTTTCTCAAAATAGAGGTGAACAATGGTCTAGAGGAACTCGTCCAAATTATTCGCATTCAACAAGATCTCTTGTCCCACCACCTATGTATGAGGTGCCAAGACCTACTGCTCCTTTTGCATCATCGTCACCAGATTGGACTGTACCTGTTATTCCTCCTTCAGATCCTGTAATATTAGAAATGATTGCACGTGATGCTACACAAACAATTAATATTGATGGTGTATCAAGAGAAGTTCGATTTTATGGTCCTACTGCAATAACTTTTCAAGCCTGGGATGATCCGAGAGAGATATACTTTCAAGGGCCTCCTAAAAATGTTATATTTGATACTTTTTTTTCAGTCTTATGTCATTTCAATTCTCCTGATAGAGAATTTTTATTAGATGGTCAACCCCATAGAGTACGTTTAGGTGCTCCTACTCGGGAACTATATTTAGATGGACAATTCTATGAATGTTTTTTTGGTGGTTCCCCTATTTTTACTGATCTTGGTGGTGTCAAAAGGTCTGTTAAATTAGAAGGTCCTCCACCTTCAGTAAATATAGGTACCACCAAGCGACAAGATTTAGTTGCTGGTCGTATTGCTATTACAATTGATAACACTTACTCAATACCTGTCTATTTGGATGCAAAGCCACAACGTATTGATGTTGGTAACACGGCCCTTATACTTCGTTTTATTGATGGATTAATGAGAGCAATGATTAATGATCAACCATTTAAAGTTAATTATAATGGACCACCACAAGCCATTATAGTAAGAGGCAATAAACATTATTTAAGATTTACGGGATTACCTTCAAATATTCGACCTGGTTATGCTGCTATTTCTCAAATGATGGGTGTTGTATTAACTGATGATACAACTACCGAATCCTTACCACCAATATCTGCTCCCCCTATACCTCCTCCTTTTGCTGGATTTGACATGACAACATTAACGTCAATTGAAGATAACAGTCAATCTCCTGTTCAATCATTTTCTTCTGCCTACTCTTTGGCTCCAAGTAAGATTTGAACTGTTAAAATTAATTAATAACCCTTGTATTTAATGGAATTGTTATTTATATTTTTAGCCACTACAATACCTCTGTTGCCTAATACACCAAAATTAGAACCTATCACAAATTCTTATATACCACCAATAGCTCCTACTCCAGCAGTACCTCCGGTACCTCCAGTTTTACCGAGTAATATGGATATCAATGAGTTGTTTAAGAAGTTAGTGGACAGTGGAATTGTACCAAAAGATAAACCAAAAGAAATTATTCAACCAAAAATAAAAAAAAAAGAGAAGGAACCAGACAGTTTGACTGTGAAACCTGTAGATTTTTCAGATCCTTCGTCATTAAAACAGTAATTAAAAAAAAAAAAAAAACCAGCATATTTTATGAATACATGAATGTATTAACTATAATTATTTTATATTACAGAAAACAACCAGGATTAATTCACAACTTATACACTGGAATTCAGTGTAGTTCATGCGGTATTCGATTTACTGCAGAGTTTACTATTAAATATAGTAGTCATTTAGATTGGCATTTTCGACAAAATAGGCGAGAAAAAATGGCCAGCAAAACTGTTCAGTCTAGAAAATGGTTTTATGATACTAGTGACTGGTGTAAATATGAAGAACAAGAAGATGAGGCTACCAGAGGTATTTTATTGCTAATTTAATGGTTTATATTTATTAAATATATATAAAAAATTTTAGCTGCCAGCTGGTTCGATTTACAAGCAGAACAAGGAACTAAAGATGATGAACAAGTTGAAGAAGAGAATGTTCCCTGTGTCCCAGCGGGTGAAAATAGTGAACTGGCTGCCTGTTATTTATGTCATGATCAATTTGAACAATTTTATAATGAAAAAGATGAAGAGTGGCAGTTAAAGAATTGTATTGAAAAGGATAAACATCTTTATCATCCATTATGCTTTGATGATATGATTGTAATTTTTTTATTTTAATAATTCATTTAATTTTTTAAGGTATTAAATTTTTTTTTTCTTTAGAAATCTCGAGAAGAAAAACTTCGGAAGAGAAATGAAGCTATAGAGGAAGCTAAACGATTGGAAAGTCAAAAAATAGAAGCTAAAGAAGAATTTCAACTCTCTGAGGATATAAAAATGAAAGAAGAAATAGAACAGAAATGTGAACAAGAAATATTAACAGAAAAAGAAGAATTGATAAATAAAGAAATAATTATCAAAAAAGAAGAAAATACAGAAAACAAAGTAATTACAGAAACAGAAATATGTACAGAAAAAGATTTAAATATAAAAAAAGAAGAAATAATAGCTGAAGAAGAAATAATAACTGAAAAAGAAAATGAAGAACAAATTACCAGTGAAAATTTTCTTGAAAACCTAAAATCAATTTCTGAAGAAACTTTGAACGAAGAGAATGTAGACATAAATATGGAAAAAAATGATTTGGAGATTCCTGATACCATGGAAATCATTCAAGTGTCTGAAGTTTTATCACCTAAACTAATTGATGAACCTGTTATTGAAGAAAATAATCTTTCATCTCCACCTATTACTCAAGAGATTGTACCTGAAGAAATTAAACCTAGATCTCCATCACCTGTTTCTACAATAACATGTTCAATTGATGGAAATAATGACACTGAATGGAATGTTCCAGTAGCCCCTGCAATGGGAACAATTAAAATAAATATAAGTCAAAAAAATACACCTGTTAATAAACCAATCATTCATAATGAAGACTCGTCCACAGAACCACAGTCACCTCCAGATTTTACCCAGACGTTTGGTGAGATTGACCCTGATCAACCACCACCGCCTGGTCTTGAAATGGAAACTGTAGTGGCTCCTAAAATTCAAAGAGAAATGAAACCAAGACTAATGCACAACAGCAAAAAACTTAAAGATTATCCAATGGTTAACAGAGGTAAAGAAATGTCTGGCTTGTGTTCAATTATGTAAAAAATAAAATAGTCTTTTTAAAGAAAAAAACTTTTTTAAACTGTGTAAATAAATATGTTAAAATTTTATAATTTATTTAAAATGTGATACATATTAAAATATTTAATAAAAAACTTAATTTTTGTATATTAATGGAATATATTAGAATAAGAGATTAAGTTCACATTGTTGATTTTTTTTTACCCAAAATAAATTATTATTTTATAGTTTTTTTTTTTTTTTAGATAAAAATTTTTTCCTGATTATTGACTAAAAAATATAATATTTTAATAGTCCATATGTAGTTTATGTATGTTTTGAATTATCAGGGTTAAAAACTCAAGTCATGGATAGTAAACAGCATCAAATAATATGTATTAATTTTTATTTTTGGTGAACGTATTAGTAAATAAAAAATATGAATAATCATCAATTCAAATATCTGAATAAATATAATTACTAATAGATTATTTTATAGTTTATGTCTATTTAGGACATTAATTGTGGTTTGATATCATAAATTCTGTATTTTCAATATTAATGATACATTTTCTTTATATTTTAGCAATTCTTTGTTATAGTTCTGTAACTTTTAATATTAAAACTATCAAAAATATGATTATTTGATCCTATTTGGTTAAGAAATAGGTAGTACTATTTACATACATATGAATAAATATAAAATGTTTTTTCAGTAAATAAGACACTGGGCAATTGTATTATTATTCATAGTTTATACTATTAATAATACTATTGTTATTTCAAAAAATAAGCCAAAAAGTATTATTAATAATATATCTTGATTTTATTAATCACTAATACTAAATGTGATAAACGATCAAAAACAAAATATTTGTAAATTTGTTCATGAAACTATGCTATACAGGGGAGTATTTAGACTTACTTCAAGTGGGGACTCAAATTTTTTCTTTGATTCAGGCTCAAAATTTACAAGTAAAGTGTTCGTTAATATTTATATCTGGTGAATCCTTAATATTTGTGGTTTTTTTTTAAATCTATTGCCAGATACACTTAGAATCGACTGGTGTAGTTTTTTATTAACACATATCTGTTTTAAAAGTTATGCTTGTGTTTTATTTGATTTTTCACCAAGTACGGACCCGACAAAAAGCCCAATTTAGTATTCATAGCCACGCGTAATTTAATTTCGTTCTAAAATGATCCATATTAAAAAAAATTGAAATGTATATCTCGCATAATCAATTCCTTAAATACAGATTCAGGGAGACGATCGCCTCTTCGCTCTCCTCTAAAATACGTCCATACCATATTAAGTATTTCTTTAATAATCTTTATACATAATAATTAAATATTCAGTTAGGCGAGATTAAGAAGTTTAAAGTCAAGTACATTCAATACCTAGTATGTTTTTTTTCTTTTCACTTCTTCAGCAGACTAATAAATTCTTCAGTCTATTGTTGTAATATTTAATCAAATTTCAATAATTAAATAGTCTGGCTCAAACTAGAGGTCACTATTATTATTTTTGAATTCCTAAGTTGAGTACTGTATAAATCATAATTTTTCAAAATATTAAATATTTTATATAGAACATGTTTATATGTTTTATACTTAAACAAATATTCATATTATCAAAACCATTCAAACATTTGATAGAAGAATCTTCATGCCTGTAAGCACAAACATCTTATACTTGCTATAATCCAGCTTATATAGTTCAATTTACATATAGTCCAAGGCATTTATTTTAGAATGATCAATATTTAATTACAATAATTATTTTTCAAGTTAAAACAAATTATTAAATAAGTTATTAATTCTCGTGAATTATGTTTTTATTCTTATAATTTGGATGTGTAGTATTTTTTAAAGATAAAACGAATATCTGATCACAAATAAGATTATGTTTAATATATTTTATGATATGACTAAATTGTTATTCAACAATCGTATAAAAGTTATTTAATACCTTTACTTAGAATAATTTTTGTTTTTTATGAAATGACCGATGATACATTTTTGTTTTGTATACTTGTGTATTTCTATAAATGTAAGATAATGTATATAATAATATTAAACTATCATTGTTTTCGGCAATATATAATGCATTTCATCATAAATGGTTTTATACTTGTACTACTCTTAGAAATTGCCATTCATCTGAAATATTGATTTTTGTAAATGAATTCATATTTTAGTGCATTAGAAAAAAAAAATTAAAACAGAAACATTAGATTATAGAACAATTTATGAATTACGACTTATAATAGAAAACAATAAAATTAAAGCAAATATATTTTAATATAAAAAAAATATGTATACATTTACTAATGGAAATAATATAATAATATTCAACAAAAATCAATAGAAAATCAAATGATTAAAGTAAAATCGGTGTTTTACATTTTACAATTATGTGGCCATCGAGGAAATGCAATAGTGTCTTTAATATTCTGTATATCTAATAATACTTGAAGGAAACGTTCAAATCCTATGCCAAAACCTGCAGTAGACACATTACCAAATTTCCTCAATTCTATGTACCAATCTAATTTGTCTTCCATTCCTACAAGAGATAACTTTTCTTTTAAAATATCATGATTATCTTCACGTACACTTCCACCACATAATTCACCAACATTAGGACATAACAGATCCACAGCTGATACCTGAACAAATATAAAGTAAGATTCATGTTTACAACATATAATTAATGAAAATAAATCATACCAATGCTTTATTACTAGGTACTGTTTTTGTGTAAAATGGTTTCAATTCTTTAGGCCAGTCTACAACAAATATTGGTTTCTGACCATTATATTTAACCAAAAATAATTCATGTTCTTTAGTTAATGGTTTGCCTCGAATCATTGCATTTTTAAAACAATTTTCTCTTTCTAATATATCACATGCTTTATGATAAGTTATTACTTCATAAGGAACTTTAAGTAAGTTAACAGGATTGTTGTCTTCAGAAGCACCTATCATTTTTCTGTAATGGTCTATTTCATCTTCTGATTCTTCTAATAGCTTTTCTACTACAGTTGATGTAGTTTTTTCTATCATTCCTAATAATTCTTCAGTTCTATCAATAAAAGCTTGCTCTGCTTCAATCATGTAAAATTCTGATAGATGTAACCTCGATTTAGAGTTTTCAGCTCTAAAAGTTGGTCCCAACGTATAAACTTTAGTTAGTGCCCGTGCCATACATTCTAAATGCAACTGTCCAGATACTGTTAAATATGTTTGTCCATTAAAGAAAGTTTCTAAAAGTGAATGATGATTTTGTGAAATCATCTCTTTAATTAAACTATCATTATTTGGTTTCACTACAAACACTTCACCAGCTCCTTCACAATCATTTGAAGATAACACTGGAACATTTATTTCCACAAAATTATCATTGGAAAATCTATTTCTTACAGCAGTTGACATTTTATTTCTAAGTCTTAATAAACAACCAAACGTTGCTGTCCGTGGTCTTATATGTAAATGTTGCCTAACATAATCTGGATTGTAAGTTTTTCGAGGGGCAAATGGGTAACCATCTTGAACCACACAAGGTCCATGAACATTGATGGATTCTGCTATTAATTCTAGTTTATTACTTGGATTTTTGACCAAAACACCTATAGCTTCAAAAGAACATCCATAAGTCAAGGAAGCTGGAACTTTATTTTTAGGTATTACTACTTGTAGACGATGATGAGTAGAACCATCATCTAAATCTATAAATATGTTTTCTTTCATTTTGCGCATTGCTTTAGCCCAACCCTGAAAAAAAAAAATTCTTAAGAACCAAAACTATTTTATCAAGCATATATAGCCAGAAATTAGTTTTTACTAATAAGAAAAATATGCAATTTTATGAATGTATACAACACAAAATAATAATTATTAATTTAAGAATTAAAAACTATCAATATATTTTTTTTTGTGTTGCGTTTGAACTTTTTAAAGCATAATACAAAAATTATAAATGTCTTTAAAAATATATTGATATTTATTTTTAAGAGCTGAAAACATATTTTATTTTAACAGTTAGATAATACTATTATTATATTACCTTCAACTTTTTTTTACATCCCTCAGGTTGAGATTTTAAAATTTCTTTAACTGAACATGTAGAGTATAAATGTTTGTTAAAATAATATCTAGTTAAACTTAATAATTTCATTTTTTTATTTTTTTGTAATTTATTTATTTATTTATACTTTTTTATTTAAATGATCCAATAGGAAATAATGAATATTACAATTATAGTACATTGATATTGTATTTTTTATTCGTTTGATAAAAATTGATAAGGTTTGTGTCATGTGCACGGCTATAGATAATATTATCTAATATTATATATATTGCGATATTATATTGTTGTATACTACTATACTGTTTAGTACATTATAGTACACGTGACTTGTCACTGTGTCACATTCTGGAACTATGGATCCTATAAATGATCCAGTAATGATATTTATTGAAACGCCTTTCAGGCGTTGGAATAATATTCATAAAAATGATTTGATTAGAAAAGGCAAGCCAACTCCTTTTACGTCTTTTATGTCAATCACTTGACAAAAAATGTGGCAAAGTATTTAGTCGACATTTTTATCCTGCGTGGTATGATTTGGATTCTTGGCTTTGTAGAAGCTATTACAAACAAGCGCCATTTTGTTGGCCGTGTATATTGTTAGCAGGCCCTATTTTTATGTGCACCCCGACACAATGTGCACCACGAAAGTACAAGTGTGCACTACGGTCTACAAAACAAAAGTTAAATAATAAGCCAACTACTAGGAAATATGAGTATTATTGAATTTTTTAAAATTTAATGCATATATATATATATATATATGTATATTATGTATATAATATATTAATTTTTCTAAGACAGTAGCGAGACTAAATTTTCATTTAAAGCAGTAAAATCAAGTGTGCAGTCCGAAATTGTACAAATAATGAGGCCTGATTGTTAGGTCAATCAAAATCTGTCTGGTAGACATTTGGTTATTGTGATTTTAAAAACTTGTCCCGTAGTGTAAAATTTCACGAGTCATCAAAAGAACACATTCACAGCTACTTGGGGATTAAACGTTTAGAAAACAATAGTGTTACAATTTTAATGTTATAGTTTTTGTACATATGTGTGTTAATATTTAGTCGCCTCGATCAAAATTGAATCCCAAAACCGCCATTGGCTATTCCACCCAACGTGTAGAAAAATACAAACAAATTATCGATAACAATAATTGTTATTAGATTGCCATAATTAGTTATTTATAAGTGTTCGTAGAAATTATTATCTTAATTCTACCGTCGCCAAAGTCGATGAAATCATTAAAATATCATTAACGTGTTCGAACAGCAAAATAACAGAACTAAAAGAACCAAATAGCAAAAACAACAAACACGAAGAGATTAAGTGTCGGGCTACACATAGCGGTCGAGCCGCAGCGGTTGAACCGCGAGTGTTTCAACCGCCAGATCACCGCTCACATATGCGCGGTCGTACCAAAGTATTGGGTGATTGAAAAATTATTATATTTTAAAACTTAGTAATCTGAGTGTTATTAACACGCAAGGTTGTTTGTACAGTATTGTAATATTAGCTATTCGCACAAAATGGAAATAAACCACGATCGACTAGTTCAGGTTTAGTACTTACTTCATATACCAACCTATTTCTATACGCTATTCCAAAAGAAAATACTTCAGATTTTCAAATATTTTATAATAGATTTGATAAAAAAAAAATTAAAATTATATTTTAAAACATTAATTTTTTTTACAAATAAAAAACAGAGTAATTTTAGGTCATGAAAGTTACTAGAAACTTTAGGCCCCACTATTGGAATTCTTTTTTTTAATGCATATAATCTTTGAAAAAATGAATCGCGATTGTTAACCGCGGCTCTGTGTGAACGGACTAATTCAAAACAATGTGTTTTTATCATTTGGGCGGTCGAACCGTACGCGGGTCAACCGCGACATGTTGCTGTCGATTTTTTGACTGCAGCAATTTTCGCGGCTGAACCGCATAAGTGTGAACGCGTATCAGGCGGTTGCATTTAAAATAAAATAATTTGAATTTGTTGAGCAGTTCAACCGCTGCGGCTCGACCGCTGTGTGTTGCCCGACACTAAGAAGCGTATTGTAGCACGTAACAGATGTTTTCATGCACTGTCTTAGTGCCTACGCTCAAAGTTACTATCAAAGAAATCGAAAATGAGACTATACAAAGTAATAGTAAAACCTATTATAACTTATGCATGGCCATCGACGATAGAGTATGAGAGAAAATTGGCTATAGTATAAGAAAAATTTCTAAGAAAGATATGTGGACCTAAAATAAATAATATAACACAAAGGTATGAAATAAGATCAAACGAAGAAATATACAATACCTTTGGAAAACCAAATATAATTGGTGTAATTAGAGCCAAAAGACCAAGTTGGCTAGGTCACATACTAAGGTCTGACTTGATTGCAAAGAAGGTCCTGAGTTGGAAGCCACAAGGAAAAATACCCTTAGGCAGACCTAAACAACGATGAGTTGATAAAGTCTTGAAGGATCTAATAACGCTAAAATAATATAGGAAAAAAATAAATTATAACGGCAGTACAACAAAATGTATCTACATGGTCTCGGCATTTACAGCACATGAAATAACACAATTCCATTAGCTTATTCAAAATAGCACATTTTCTCGTGTTTTACTACTGCTGATATATTCATAACAAAATAATTATTATAAAATTATACTTAATACAAAATTTAAGATCAACTATTTCGTTAAATTCTACTTTAAATTAAAATGTAATCTAGAAGTGAATATAATTAAATAATATAATTTAAGCGGGTACTAATAACTTAAACATTTTATTAGTTGACATTTAACTTTATATCTTGAGCTTAACATTAGAAATAATACAAACCCTTTTTATCAACAGCTAATTTAATCCAAATTTCTTCTTCTTCTTGTGTATTACCGGCCACTAGGAGCAACCCGCCAAACATCCAATTCACCAGGTCTCTCTGTCCGCTGATTTTGTTCTCCAAATCTAGACCACCATTTAACGATTCCACGTCTCTTTTTACTATATCTTGCCATCTTAAACGAGGGCGCCCAAGAGGTCTCTTTTCTATTGCGTTTTATGCTAATACCTACCATGTGCAGCAGTCCGTTCTGATTACGCCACGCGTGACCAGCCCACTTAAGTCTCCTACTCCAGGATTATATCCAATATGTTTGACTTCTGAAAGAGATCCTCCAGTTCATTGTTTTTCCTTATTTTCCATCCCTCAGTTATCTCGTCTTTTACTGGACCAAAAATCTTTCTAAGGATTTTCCTCTCTAGAATAATCAGTTTATTTTCCTCCGTTTTTCTTAACGTCCATGTTTCTGATCCGTATGTAATTATATTGTGGTCAAATGGTTAAATGAATATCATCAATTCAGTTACAGTGTATTATTTGATTGTAGTCACTTTTATACCACACTTTAATCAATTTAACTAAATAGTTTGTTTAAACAATTTTAAATTTTTATAAAATAAAATTTGATTATTTAGTCCAGCGTTTTTTAAATTGTGTTACGCGGAACCCTGGGGTTCCGCGAAGCTTACGTAATTTTTTAAAATTTTTTAAGAAAATTAATTTAAGGAGCCTCACCACCACGCCTTTTTTTTAACAAAAACTAACTATTCCTAATTCCAACGTTACGTGTCGACAATTATCACGATTTTTATTCTGAAAAAATATACGGATTCTACATAGTATGTACAAGGGAACGATTGAGCCACATTTTTAATTTTTGTAATTTGAATTGCAATAAATGTTGTAGAAAATTCAAAAAAAATACAGAATTTCAAACTTAAATATTTAATTAAATAAATACAATTTTTAAAATGTGCCTCGATCGATTCCTCGTACATGTTGTGGAAAAAAAGAATGTTTTTTTCAGAATGCAAATCGAGATAATCGTTGCGACGTATTGTTTGAACTAGAATCGTATGTTAGAGTGAAAAATAAACATTTTTTCGCGATCACAATATTACGCTCGACATGTGTGTGCGAGTGCATACAGAAGCCCTCCGTAACACTACCGTGCCGCATCAAGATAACGAATCTATAAACCAGGGGCGTATTTAGGAGGGGATGATATGGGTGTTGGAACACCCCCCCATCAACCGTATTTTATGGTATTTCACCAAATTGCAAACTTACTTACGGTATAATTTAAATAAACGTAAGTATAAGTGAAATCATTTTCATTAATATAATAATTTATATATATACATGATATTTATAAATGTAATACGTTGGAGGCAAAACCTCCACTTACTATAAGTCTATTAAATTTTAAAACACCCTCGTTAAATGAATCCTGGATACGCCACTGCCTATACACTGTAATATAATAATATTATAATAAAAGTTCATCTCTACTATTAACTTTTTTGGTATAAACTTGTTCGTTTATAAAACCCCATAAGAAAAAGTCACATGGGTTGAAATTAGGACTGCCTTGTGGGCATGTTATGTCTGGGCTATATTGAGCATTGTTTTCAGCTCCTCTACCTATAAGTTTGTCAGAGAAAAGATTATGTAATTGTTGTCGGATTGCATTTGTATGATAAGGAAGTGCACCATCTAACATAAACCACATTGATTATTATTCTTCCAATGGTACATTCGCTAATAGTACCGGAAGACCATACATAATAAAATATAAAACCTAACCTGACCATTCGATCTAGCCGGTAATTCATATCTCTTGTAAATACATGAATAATAAAATACATAGTTTAAAATTTCTATTAGCTCTAATTTTGTTATTATTTCATCATTGTTATAAGTCGTTAAGTTGTTATAAAGTTGTTTTAATCAATTATGTGTGTTAACTGATAACAAACACTACTATTACCACTTGTAAGGTTATAACTACCAAAATAATAAATATAAATATTACCAGACGCAGTGGACCAGGTTGTACTTACATGGCGTTTCACAAGTATTTATAAAAAATAGGTTCGGTAACCTACTGGGCGCGACTATGTGGTCGGACCACAATAGGATTTTTTTAAAAAAATACCGCGGTAATCAATGAAGTCAACTTGGTATTTTTTGAAATAATTAAAATTGATTATATGTAAATAATTGCAGAGTCGTTGTGT